ATTAATTTGTGTAATCCTATTTGTTATAAAGTATAGTAACGGTATAACCAACAAAAGTTGCTAAATGCGATGATATACATACAGCCATTACTCGCTGACGAGTATTCGACACACATCAGAAGATGGTCTCGCAAGGCGCTTCCTTTCATGAGCCAGGACTGAAAAGCCCGATACGTGATGTTATCTACCTACCGCACTCCGGACATTCAAAAATCTCATTGCTTTGTTGCCTCTGTACTTTTTGTCGCTGTTATTTGTGATACTATATAGATATGCGATGCTATAAAAAACAGCGTCAGAATTGATTTGGATTCATATCCAAGATCGCTGGCATTTTATGTGTAAAATTATATGGGAAATGTTCATCGATTAAAATTATATCACGAATGTCACTTGCCAACTGGAGGTCGTTTTTTCGATCATAATGATGTATTAACAATTATTGTATTTTAGAAAATGTTGTTATGAACCGTTGGTTATATAAACCAAAACATACAAACATCACTTATAAAAACACTAATATTTTAGAACCTTCATTGATTTGATTCCAATGTTGAAAATAATATTTAATATTTTATAACATTCGTAGTACATAAATAAAATCCTTAACTATGTGTGTGTACTTAATCGTTAACTAAATAAAACTAAATTAAAATTATTGATAAAGAGTTTTTTTTTCTTTTTCTTAAACCTTTAAATTATATCATATATTTTTTTTTCCTTTCTTGGGTATGAGGTTTTATTTTTATTAATTGAAAATGGAAACTTTTTTTTAAAGTTTCCATTTTCAATTAATAAAAAAAAACCTCATACCCAAGAAAGGAAAAAATATATATATATATGATATTATTGATAAAGTAGGCACTTAAAATGCATGTACTTGACGCATACGACTATTATATGAAATTATGAAATCAATAGCGCATCTTTCCTATCATTTTATTGGTTAGGCAAGGATGTACGAGTACATTAAAAGTATGAGTATGATTATGATCTAAATGTACAGAGTGATTCAAACCTGTCGCATGGGGTAAATGGAAAGGAACAATACAATTTTGCTGGATGAGAACTAAAAGGGAAGGTTTAAGGCTCGGTTTAAGGCATATTTTTTGTATATTTGTATTACAAATAGAGAATATAACGTGATCGAATCTACGCGAGACACGTACGAGATAGGCGTAGTAAATGAAGCGCAGGTATTCAAAAAAAGTCGACTGGCTGTCTAATGGAAAGGTTGTGGTGTTTTACATTTAATCTCCTGTACACATACACATTTAATAAAAAATGAACAAATAATAATGTGCAAAAATCGGTGAAATGAAATAAAAGATTAGAGTTTCTTAAGGAACGTAAATTTCCATTGATTTTATGATAATTTTGAACTGGTTGCTTAGTTCCGCGATATAATCTTTTACTATAATTGGGAGACGCATTTTGCATGTAGTGGGTACTTTCAATGAAGGTGAACGTCTTCGACGTAAAACATTTTTTATAGGGTGTACTTTCAAAGCGACTTAATTAACTTTTTACAACAAATGCCTTAGGTACAACAATATACAGGTCCGATTACGTAAAATCAGATTAAACTAATTGCATCAATTACTTTCTAGTTTCACATATATTCTGTGAGACGCATGTCATCGCCAGAGACAACTTAAATCAGTCTTCTTTGTGCATGTAGCAAGAGTGAGAGTAAAAGTTTTGAGTTCATAATTTAACAATTTCCATGTTAAACATACAATTCCCTGCTCCGCTAATTGACTACTTTCAAAAGCGGGATTGTCACATGTTCAATCAAAAATATAATTTAAAGTGATAGCGAATATTTTCTATTAAAAAAAATGTAAATGATATTGAATTATTTACAGTAGGATGTAATAAAAAAAGGATCAAATTAATTATATTAATTTAGCTGTTTTCACTCATTAATCATAATATTATAAGCAATATAATTGCTAGATTTATTTGCTAATAAATACTAAAAATGAGACAGAAAAATGCATTTAATTACAGCATTTAATTATGGAATGGAAATATCCCAATTTTTTTTTATTTTTTTGAAAATAAAGTATGTATGTGTTTTCTTTATGGCAGAAAATTCTGTATTAGCAAAGTTTACAGAAAATCTTGTAAACGTTGGGGTAACAGACTAATAATTTAGTAAGTAAAATTTCTTTTAACTGACTGGTCTTTATGCATATTTGATAAAAATACCTTTCAGTAAATTTTAAGCTTAATCCAAAATTAAACTTTTCAAATTGTAAAATGCATAAAATGTTTAAAATAATCTATAATCTTTATGTTTGTTGGTTTTTGGATATATATTTTTTCGTAACAAATTAGCTAGGTATTAACTAACATACAGGTATAAGAATTATATCTTATCTCTTTTGGGATTTATTAAACACATAAAACACGAATGTAAATATTCAAATATATGTATAATAATTATTTTCATTTATTACAATAAATGAAAATTATTATATATATATATATATATATATATATATATATATATATATATATATATATATATATATATATATATATATATATATATATATATATATATATATATATATATATATATATATATATATATATATATATATATATATATATTATATATTAAAGGTGTTCCATTTTTGCGTTTTTAAAAGGGTTTTTCGTTTATGAATAGAGAAAAAAAAATGCGGTTTATACATTACTAAGCCTGAGTCATATTTCGAAAATGACAGTGACACGGCTGATTTGATTTCCCCTTACGTCTCAAGTGCTGTACGGTGGAGACACCAATCGTCCTGCGGCCAACGCATAAAATACTTATTGTCTTTAATTCGGCAAGCGAATGCATATCGAAGACGGTGTGGAACTGAAAGCGACAGCGTTGCCAAATTAAAATGTGTAAAATCTGTAATACGTTTGACGAAAATATTTTTGGATGAAAAATCCGCTTTTATGAATTGAAAATTTATTTGTGTCCAACAGAGAATAAACAAAAAAAACTTTTATAGGTACTGAGTATGTCGTATGACCGAAAAAAGTCGTTTAGTTGGCTAGGAAATGATGATTATTGACATTAGCCATAATATTTTACATATTAACAGCGATCTTCATTTCCAAGCCAACTCTGACGCCGTTCAGGCAACGGCCCAGCTACGTCGAAACACCGGTTCATACTAGAACACCGAAGTTAAGCGACGTAAGGCGATACTAGTGGATGTACGGGTGACCGGTTCGAAACTCTGTATCGTGCTGTTGTCCAAAAAAAAAGGCAAAAGTGTAAAATCTATTGACACACACTGCTCATTCACGTCGATTCGAGGCCGGATGAGAGATTTAGACACTTACCAAGTTGGTAGGCCATTGACCATGATATGGCCGAGGGCCGCGGTTCGGATTCCGCGTAAACAAAGTAGGCCCCGTCCAGATTAGCGCTGGCAGCAAAAAGGAGACGTTAACTGAATTCTTTACTTTTCTGACGCCGTTCTTTGTTTAATCATATATCACTAAATATTATATTAAATTGTTTAATGATAAAAAATCCGTATTATTAACATTCTGTACCCAAAATCCGTAAATCTACGGATTAATCAGTATTTCTCCCAACACTGTTTCCGGCAACCACTTATTCTGTCGACTGAAAGCAGAACTACGGTACAGTATTCTTTATCCGCTACGCTGTAAACGACTATCAGCGCGCAGCGGCGCAGAGCTAAACTAAATCTCGGATAGACTGACGATAACGCCAGCTACCCCCCCATCTCGGACAGAAGTTGCGCATCTTCTTATTTCTTCAATCAACGATGGTACCGGTATGATCAGGGAGTCGAAAAATGTAACTAAAAAACTTTCAAATTTGCCCTGTATTTCAAAAACTAAGAAGCCTAGGACAAATAGATGTTTCTTGTTCAATTAATAGATTTAATTTTCCCAATCATTTTAAAGCAATTTAAACATTGTTCAAACAGTACTAAAAATATAATATATAATGGTTTTAAGAAATATTTAACATGTAAGTAACAAAGTATGTTATTAGTACTTAATAAATATTAAATTTAAACTTATCTTGTAAATTTTAGAAAAAAAAATAAGACACATATAATAGTCTAAGAGCTAGGAACGATTTCGAGAAAGTATTTTAAGAAATCTGGCTCTTTGATATATCTTTTACTATACCTATATGCTCTCTGGAACAGCATGCAGCCCATCTGGCTGCATATCCGTTGCGTTCACTACTGCGTATCGGAAGATGATCCTATATATTTTTTTTTATTTAGTCGGTTAAATTCTAGTATTGAATATAAATCGAACAAGTCTCCATAGCGCAGCGCGTAGAGTTTTCGACTACGAACCAAGGATTCAGCGCTCGAGACCGGGTCAGGGCAAAATTTTTTTTATTTTATTTTCGTTTATATTCTGATAGTCTTAATAGTTAAGTTAATAAAGTATTAAATATTTGTTTTTTTTTGAATCACCAGAATTATTTAATAGTTTACTATCAGAATATAAACGAAAATAAAATAAAAAAGTTTTTACCCCGACCCGCTCTCGAACTCTAACACTCTGACTCCTCGCTTGATAGGCGGAATCTCTACCTCTCTACGCGCTGCGCTATTGAGACTCGCTCGGTTTTTATTCAACACTATACTATAATTTAAAGGACTAATAAAAATATAGGATCTTCTTTCAATGCGCAGTAGGGAACGCAACGTTTACCGGCAGCCAGACGGGCCGCATGCTGTTCTAGAGAGCATAGTAAAAGATATATCAAAGAGCCAGACGTCTTAAAATACTTGTTTTCCCGACGTTGCTAGCTCTCGTACTATAAGAAAAATATACCAAAAACAATGAATTATTTGTGCTGTGAATACAATTATATCACACAGCAGCTATTTTATCGCAATCTAAATTCATTAATTCTATTCTAATAAAATCTGAAATAAGAACCTTAAATCTACTAATTTTCCAACAAATAACATTATTCTGAACTGACTTACCTCTAATTTTTTAGAAATTTCTTCGATAGCTGCTTCGTGTTGCTTCATTAGCTCCTTGTTTTTCTCCAGCAACGCGTTTCCTAACTCAGCTGCCAATTGTAGATCGTTCTCCTTTTGCTGCAGCTGAGTCCAGAGGTCCTCGTTGGGGATTTGAGCATTCTGCTCGTTTATGGCACTACGTTTTTCCATTTCTACTACGTATTCTTCTAAGGATTTAAGCATTTTCTATGCGAGATTGTTCAAATCCGGCCCGGTTTCGCTAGGAAGCGATTGCGACATATCGCCATTTCACGCAACCGAGTCATGATGCCGATTTAATATCCAACTGGAAAAGAAACGTTAACTTTAGAAATGATTATAAATGAAATATTTCGAGAAGTATTACATGTATTCATAAAAAATTGGCGCCGGGAGGCACGTATAGCCGCCCATACTAAAATATGTTAATAAAAAGTTGGTAGGCAGTTCTTTTAGTTTCAATTATCTCAAAAACTGCAAATTTGGTTAAAATCGGTTTAGCGGTTTTTGAGTTATCGTGTAACCATACCTGTTGGTATGGTCAGCTAAAAAATGAGAATAAGGGATGAGATTTTTGATTAGTAACTTATCATACCCTGCTGGCAAGCGAAACCTTGGGTCGGCGTTTACATGTAGAGGAGCGAATCGCTATGGCAATCTAGTAAGTCGAAGAGAGCAAAAATACGAAGTATTTATTACATAACCACTTAATATGGCGCTATATTCCATTACAGTGACTAGATTCCATGCGCTTGGGAAAATACTTGCCTTCTGCCTTTATTCAGTACATCTTATTTTGCTAAGCCTGTGTTGACCGTACTCGTCGTACACATGAAAACCGCCATCCAAGACCAAAAATGCTAGCCCTAGTATACAGGGTGAATGAAGTGCAAATATTTTTAGGGGCGGTATATTTCTACCTCAGTAACGCGTCTATGAGGTTTTTTTCACTTTCAATAAATTTTTGGATTTTTGTTAAACATGTCTTGATATTATGGAAACATAGTTAGTAGCATAATTTACAAAAAAAATCGAAAAAAAAAACATTGGTTCTCAAAATATGAACAAAAAATGATTTTTTTTTTATTTTCAAAGAAAAATAATTCGATTATTTTGGACTTATTTGTAAAACGGGAAAGAGATATCGTCGGCTTTATCAATTGTTTTCGGGTAATTCCACTTCAGTTAATTGTTTTCGGGCAATTTTACTAGATCTGTTCAGAGCCTATTTTACCATAAAGCCCATAAGGCCCGGGCCTTGGAACCGGTGGTCTCGGGGGCCGTTAAAGGTTGTAAAATATTCACAATTTCTTGAATTTTTGAATTTTTTTGGAAAAGAGGGCCCGAATTTTTGCTTGGGCCTTAGGGCCCGACCAGATGAAAAATAGACCCTGGATCTGTTGTATTGCTCATGCAATAAAAAACAGGCAAATTATATGTGTCTACCGTGTGTTACCGGTTACCGGTAATTTATGAAAGTTAGAATAGTAAACCTAAAATGATAACTAATTTTTTCAATCACATTCTAAATTAAACTCAGGGCCAAAACCTATAATATTACTAAATATCAAGATCTACAATCCCTTTGCACTGGTGATAAACTTGTCATTAAGTCACCAGAAGCTGTTTTATTTTAAAGCATTGCCTAAATTAACTAAATAATTACTAAAAATATATTAGTACTTAAAAAAATATTTTCGTATAAAAATAATATTAAAATAAACTAGATAAGAGTATTTTCATTCGTTATTGTTTTTGTTTCTAGAATGAACATGTCTTTATTTTCAGTTGATTTAATCGCTCAACAATGTTCCAAGCGCAAGCACAATGTTCCATTAAAGAACCAATTTCTGTCCAAGTATCTTCTTTTAAATGTCTCTTGTAATAGTCTTTATTTTTTGGAGCCCATATTATAGGCATGTTTTTGTACTTTTAAATTAGCGCCAAAACCTTTTCTTCGTCCCACATACTCATATTTTTGTTGGTTGCGAGACTATTGCACGTACACACTGGCGATCGTCGTAATTCGACGTCCACGAACCAACCGAGAATCTCTTTGTGTTCGTCCTGAAAACCGACAACTGGCGGCTCGCTGCGAGCTGTCCGAAGCTGGCTCGCAAACCTGGTTCGCAACGCGTCCACACTATAGAATTTGGTTACAGCAACGGTTGCAGTTACAGTTGCAGTTCGCCAGTGAGTACGCGGCTTAAAATCAATCGATTAAAAATATTGTCAATATGGCGGCACTTCCGGAAATACCGGAAGTTGACAGCAACTTTCTTATTTTAAATGGGTGCCCCCATTTGTTATTACATATTTAAATTCTCTGTAAAATTTTATGAATTTTGATATTAAATACTCTATATCTAACATTAAGCGTTTTTGAGAAAAAAAATATTTAAAATTTTTGGACGAAAAAAACACCTGTCAAAAATATGTGTATAGTCTAAACGTCAAATTTAATGTGCGCGTTCAGGGAACACAGCGGCTGACCGACCGCTGAGTATTTTGCTCAGCGGCTGACTGTTTTTGCGTGTAAAAAGAGACCGTTTAGGGAAACCGCTTACTCAGCCACTCAGCCGCTGACCGTCCCTGAACGCGCCCAATGATTTCCACAGCACAGTGGAGGTAAAGAGAAGACATGTGGCTATCTATTTCAGAAATTAAATTTTCAAATGTCATATAATAATGGCGGTAGCTGTCATGGAATTGAGCGATTAAAAAATAATCATAAATCATTTTGTTTCAAATGGAAACCCACTTTTTTCATTTCACTAGTGAAAAGGGGTTTCAATTCGTTACTTTTTGATTATACATGTTCCTATACCTAAAATAAATTGTTTTACGTTATTTAAGATTTAGTTTTAAAGCGTATTTTTTTCTTGATGATTTATGATAATTTTTTCATCGATCTTTCATCGAGTATTACTTTTTTCCTTATTAAGAGCACTTTTCATCATTTTTAAATTTATTTTACATAGGCAACACCCTGTATATTATTTTTCGTTTAGAGACAGAATCACAGGACAGAATTAAAAAATGCAGAATTAAAAACATTTCTTGTGTTTTTCCTAAATTTATAGCGGTTTTGCAGATATTCGCTGTATTATATTACATGGGGTTATCAACAGTAAAATAGTAGAGTATGGACCAAGTCATAAGTCATGATGTCTATGCTTGATCTCGCCAAAAATATTATCGACTGTCATTTCCCAGCAGTCTTTGACGCCATTTTTCAACCATTTGGTATATTTTTTAGTCTAATTGGTATAATTATTTCTTGAAAAAACACTAGGCATTTGGGCACGGTATTTTTATTATTTATTTTATTTGAATTTCAACGAAATAAATTTGAAGCTTAAAATTCACGGAAAGCAATGATTGTAATTATAATGCAATAGTATTTTTATTCCAATTAATGAATTAATATTTTCATCTCAGCTTTCATCCAGTGTCTCAGAGTTGAAATTTGTCTTTTGTATAGGTTATTAGTGTCAATAATTAACGTAATCATTTGACTATAGTTCAAAACAAATATCTACGTTCTACGTTAATTGAATTAAGTGTCGAAATTCCTTTAGTTTTAAAATATTCTTTAAGTAAAGCTCATTCTGTGCAATATTGAAATACCAGTGTCGCGCAAAAAAATTTAAGAGTCCATTTCACTAGTCCGAAAAAGTAGCAAAATAAGCGTTCGGAATGTAACGTTTTGTGTAAAACTGGCTAGGTATTTTTACACAAATGAAGAAGGAAATTAAAGATAAAGGATTATACGATATCCGTATTGCAGCACATTTTTAGACAACGTCTTTATTTTTAAGATTTTGATGGTCAAACATCAACAACATATATATATATATATATATATATATATATATATATATATATATACATATATATATATAATATATATATATATATATATATATATATATATTGCATATATATATATATATATATATATATATATATATATATATATATATATATATATATATATATATATATATATATATATATATATATATATATATATATATATATATATATATATATATATATATATATATATATATATATATATATATATATATATATATATTTTATATGGTGTTGTAACAAATTGCTCGCTATTTTATGGCAAATGCTGAAGCTCTGCAAACCTTAATCAAGCCTTAATCAAAGCACGTGTGTTTAGGTATAGCTTAGGTGTGAATTTTAGGTATGGCTTAACACGACAGGATCGAGCTAAGCCTTAGTGTGCGAACACAGTGCAAGCAGGTTTGCCGCTTACTGGTAGTCAGCGCCAATCTGGGCACCTATTCTTGACATCGTTCGCAACTTTGCGTATACGCATCACGTGTATTGTTATAAACAGGGTATCCCAGAAATAAGTGCAAGTATTTTAAAGGGTGGTAGATCTCGATAAAAGAAACATATTTTCTCTTTATCGTTTTTCAAATAAGTCCAAAATAATGGAGTTATTTTACTTTGAAAATTTCCAAAAAAAAATATTTTTTGCTAAAATTTTGAGAACCTTCTTCTTCATGTGCCTTCTCCTCATCGGAGGTTGGCGACCATCAATTGGAATTCCTCCCTGTCTTGAGCCAAACGGATAATTGCACTGGCCTCTCCTATATTAAACCACTGGCGCAAATTCCGCAACCAGGAAAACCGTTTACGCCCGATGCCTCGTCGTCCTTCAATCTTTCCCTCAACGATCAGCTGTAGGAAACTATAATTGTTATTTCGAAAAATATGACCAAAATATGCTGCTTTCCGTCGTTTTATTGTAGTCAATAGTTCTTGGTCCTTACACATTCTTTTCAATACTTCGAGATTTGTTTGAGAACCACTGGATCTTTTCTGGATTTTCTTTCTTGTAAATTTAATCTACTACCTATGTTGCCATATTATCAAGAAATTATTATTTTTAAATAAAAACTAAAAAAAATTACAAAAAAATTCCAAAAATATTTTCAAAAAATTCCGAATTTTCAAAAAAAAATTATTTAGAAAAAAACCTCATAGGCGTGTTTCTGGGGTTGAACTATACTACCAGTTAAGTTAAAATACTTGCACTTATTTCTGGGACACCCTGTATATGGTTACATAGTAGCGCCGCGCCGCGCCGCCTCGCGCTTATAACCTTGAAAAATTAAAGCGTGTTATCAAATCGGCTAGTTCACAGTGAAAGCAGGCAGGCACCGTCAACCAGCGTTCATCGGCGTTCTCGCTTTTACCGGAACGAAAATTTATTTATTTCTGCTTTTGCACGCGCCGACGGCGCACAGGGGGTATTAAGAACTAAAAGTTGGCCAAAATTATGTTTTATGATTTTTTTGCTTTTTTGCTAGTAATATTAATTATTAATTAGAGGAGAGGTTGCTAATATGGAACCCCATTTTGTTTTTCCTACACAATATTTTTTCCTCTACTCTGAAACCCTTTCCACCGATCAAATAGGGCCATTCTGTGCAAAACCAAGCAATTGGATGAGGATGCTAGAACAAGAAAGTAATTTGTATATTATAGACGATATTTGAGCGAGGATGGGTGTTAATAGGGTAAAGACTATTTCCTTTAAGAATCTATTTAAATCAATGTTTTTTTTGGCAGTGGCAAATATTGGCAAGATTTTTGTGCATATTCCAATGCTGGAGACTTTAAGCATTGAACGGATACTAATTTCCATGCGGAATATTGCCGAATAGTCTTACACCTTATAAAAATGCCACTGATTTTTTAAATATAAAACATTATAAAAAAATAGAATAGAAGGAAACGTTTCAAAATAAAAATATGGCATAAAACAGAACAGAGCCAACAAACAAAGCTGGCTCTGTATCCATCATGACAGTTATTATGAACAATTTGCAAAAAAAGCACTACAAACAATTCCACTATTTTTATAATCTTAGAAATATTCAGAATACACTCAAGATAATTCATACTTTTAACTGAAATATATTATTTATTTGATAGTCAACTTACGACTTAAAAAAGCTAATAACTAATAAACGTGCTTACATTTAGTATTTATAGATTTGTATTCAGTTAAGATAAAAAATAAAAATAAAAAATATCACTTTTGGCCAGGTTTATAAACCAAATACATCTATGTGCGGCCCCGGCGAGGCGGGCGCGGCGTTTGAATATAGTTTGGTTAGGTTAGGTTAGTTAATCAGGTAAATTTCCTCTTAATTATCTACTTCCGAATCCTCACATCTCCGAAATAGCCATATACAATACACGTGATGCATATACGCAAAGTTACGCATCTGTGTATTGTTATATGGCTTTTTAAGAGATGCGAGATGCGAGCGATATTTGGTGATGCGAGTGGTCAAGAATAGGTCCCCAGAGACGGCGCCGGTTGCCGGAAAGCAGAAACCTGCCTCCACTATGTTCGTACCCTTAGGCAGATTTCTGAAATTTACATTATACTCGTACCTACTTCAAACTTCAAACTTGTTATATGAGATACAATACGTATACAAACATTACTATCAATTAATGTGTGTAAGTGGAAGTAGTTCATTAGCTATTCAATTATGCTTGTTAATATAAATATTTTAAGCATTAAAATATAAATTAGAAAGCAAATTAATTCCAAATTATTTCAATAGTGACATTCTCAGAAAACTATGACTATATGTTTTATTACCATGAGAATACGCGTTGTAGCCAAACATTTAGCAAAAATTAAAAAAAAAATACAAATATTTTACTAAAAATGTTGTCTTGCGTAGGCCAGTGTTGTCTTTTTCGGAAACAAAGAACCGCACTGAACTATCAAATTGGATATATCCAGAATCCAGATGTTTCCTGTTGGCAAAGACATAAAATGAAAATCTATTGTCGATGGATTGAAAAAACAACGAAATAATGTAAAAATAAATTACGCACTATTATAGGTATTAGGAAGTCTAGAAATCTCTAAAGCGAACTTTATAAGTAAATAATTTTAAAGCATCAAAATGTAAGGAAAATATGAGAGAAATACGGGGAAAAATATGATAAGCGCCATTTCATTGATTTTACAGGAGAGCACTGGACGGCCGGTAGTTATCAGGTTCTTGCAGTGTATTCTATATTTTTACTAGGCATATATCATAGGATTTAACAACTTATTCATATTGCCTTGTAGGGTTTGTTCATTTTGAAGGGACCAGTTAGACCTACTATATTGTAAAATCCTAAAATTACGAAATTGGCGCTTATCAAGTTTTCCCCTGGGCCCTTCATTCCTAGATAATATGAGAAAATTGACAAAGATTTTATAATAGTGACTAAATTAATATTATTAAGTAAATATATTTACTATTATTGAATGACAGCATAAAATAAATTATTAGTGGCCCTAAGAACGCACTAGAATAGTATGATAAAAGGCCCCCCTACCATAAAATTTACTCCCAATTATTCAAACCAATTAGAAAAAAATTCTTTTAAACATCTATCTAAATGGTCTATTTATTAATATAATGTTAAATACCAAATTGTATTTTACAGCTTAGGATAATTTCGATGCTAAACCTGAATAGGTTTAGCATATCTATTACCGTCTATGACTATTAGAAAAAAAAATGGCGTCAGCGATGGCTATGAAATGAAGATCGCTGTCATTTTATATGTAAAATTATATGTGGACTATATCATCGATCGTCATTTCCAAGCCAATTGGAACTTTTTTTCGATCATACGGTAGTAATAGTATGGACTGGAGTAATATCTTTAAATGGTAGAACAATATAACGGAATATTAACTACTATATCATTCAAAAGCAGAAATAAAATGTTATATCTCTAATAAATACAACCATTTTGCTTTTGAGATAAACCACTAGGAAAGATAATAAGAAAAAAATGGAAACATTCAGGTAAAAATAAAAAGATAGAAAAAATTAAAATGCTCATAAATGTCAATAAAAATTCAATACCTAAAGTGACCTAAATGTATGTGTACCTACTACTGCAACGGAAGTTATTATTGCTTATACTGTTAACACGGAAAAGAAATTTAAATTATTATAAACAGGAAAATTATTGTACTGCGAAGATGTCTTAACTAATAGAAAAAAATGTTGATAGTATTTAACGAAAGAGAATTTGCAAAAAGGCACTGATGTATACAAAAGATAAATATGTAATGGTTTTTAAAAGTTGTCAAAGAAAATGTATAAATAATAAATACATTATTTATTTATTATTATTATTTATATTGATTTGCAATTTATTTTTAACTTAACTAGTTTAATTTTTATCCTTTATATTCATTTATTTGATTTTTTGGCTCTAGTAAACTTTAGGTACCTCGGAATTTCACACTTTTTTTTGTTTTGGTTTGGTTTGGTTTGAAAGATTACTGTAAATAGAGCATATTAAGACAACAAATTTGTTGGATCATACATTTTTTTTGAGCATTTGGGTTGCTTTGGTTAGCTTTTCTTTGTGGAGGGTGTTGAGCTGTGGTTTTTATATTTTAATAATTAACTGTGATTTTGCAAAAATATTATTAAATTGTATAGGATTTGGGTTGCTTTGGTTAGCTTTTCTTTGTGGAGGGTGTTAACACAGGTGTTAAGCTGTGGTTTTTATATTTTAATAATTTACTGTGATAGGTTGGTTAGCATTTTAGACACTTTTAAATGATTTTTTTTGGTTCAAAAGTGCTTCATCCAAGGATTTTTTTTCTTTTAAACTGTTCTATAGCAATAGAGCTTTCGACTAAAAAAATAAAAATTGCGAAATTCTGAGGTACTTAATGTTTACCAGACCCGATTTTTTGTTTAATATTTCTTTATTTTTATTTATCTGGTAGTCTGGTAATTGATTGCCTTGCAAAATACTCTTATGTGTTAATTCCGTTTAGGATTCAAAAAAATAACAAACCAATATCACAGCCAATATGTATCTATTAATTTTTGATGTTATTTTTTTATTTTTCCTCTACGGCTGTGATCTTGACAAACTTTTTGTATTAGTTGCTCTTTCATTATGACAGTAATTTGTGATACATAAAGTAAATGACAAAGAAAAGCTAATAAGTTTTATAACAGTACTTCGACAATGCATTTGTTCAAAAATTCAATTCATAATTTTTTCAGGCATAACAATACAAACAACTTATAAACCTACCTGCCCAATTTATACAAATAATCCTTAAAGAGTTGTTCACTAATAACAAAAACACAAATTACTAATAAAAACGATAAACTCAACTAGCTGGTCCGATTAAAAACAACTGTTTAAAATAATTTTAGGCCGGAAGACAAATAACAATTTGACGTCACTTTTCGCGAAAACATGCGAAAGAAACAAAACGCGGACCGCACGAGAAACTATATAACCTGTCAAATAAACTATACGTAACTAAAAACAGAAACGAACGCTATTCAGTTGTTTGAAAACCCGCCAGCCCACTACCATGGCAACAAACTAACTCACCTGGACGCGTGCGTATTGAAACACTGGAAGAAGTAGGTAGGGGAGGCCGGTCAAAATACAGACGGAAGTTTGAACATGTAAAGATTGTAAAGAGATTCATCTTCTTTATTTTTTGTCTTTTGTCCCATTTGAGTACTACCGTATGATCGAGAAAAAACGGCGTCAGCGATGGCTATGGAATGAAGATCGCTGTCATTTTATATGTAAATTTATATGGGAAATGTCGATGTTTATACGGTATTTGTTATTAATAGATAATAAATAAATATTAAAGTCAATTTGACTATGAATAATTAAAATGACAGACACAAAACTGTTACTGTCTTAGGACATACTAGAGCAACTTTCTTTTTTTACTTTCATTCTTTTGAGATACATACAGGGTGGCGCACCGTATTCGCCTCGGTTGATTATACGAAAAAGGAAAGATGCAGAAACAAAATATTTTATGGGTATATGTGGGGAGTCAATGAGCACAATTTAAAATTATTTTGAAATATACAGGGTGTCTCAGAACTAAGATCCATACCAAAGTTATATTTTTTCTTATGGAACACACCCGGTATTTTATTTCATTTTTGGATTCTTGGGCTCAAAAAAAGTCATTTATTATAAGGGTTAAATATCTTTAAAATGTTTGGTTTTTGAGATATTTAAAGATATTTAAATTTGCATGCTACAATAGAATAAATTATTACATCCTGTACATTACTTTTCAGAATTAATTATTATGTTGAGTTTAAAGTTAGAGAAATAAACTTTACTGAAAAATGGTATTGCTTCCTTAAATTTATACAGGGCTATGAAAAGTTGCTGATCTAATTTAAGGATATATTTTATATAAAACTTTGTTATTTCAAATGCAACACTCTGTATTTTTTAAAATAAATCGAAGCAAATTCAAATGCTCTTCCAAACTATATTAGGGTTTCCTATACTTATCTAGCTCAGATTTTGAATAAAAAGCAATTTTTAAATTAAATTGCAATCAAGACGGCTGGTGTCGCCATGGCAATTTTCTAGTGACAGTTAGTAACTGTTTTCAAAGTCGACATTAGTTTTTGGACATTATTATTTATAATTTATAACAGTTTACTTAAATTTACCTACAATAGTTTAATAAATAAGTATTCATTATTTTATCAAAAAAAATAAAGTAGTATCTGGTGGCAGAACGAATAGATACAGTACGTCTGTCCGTTCTGTGGCTACGGGGTATCCGTGAGAGGGGAAACGATATTCTATCGATGTTTTTCGTAAAAAATTAGACGACGCGTCCCATCAATAAAAATTCGAAAAATTTGCAAGTAGCCAATAAAATGAGTGGGCGGAGCGATTTGCGGTGACGTATTCGTCAAGTCGACGTATAAAATATATTGCTGTTTATTTAAATGTTTTAGTCCGCATTCCTTTCATAGACACAGATCCAGCAGACGAACTGTACCAGGGGCGGCTCGTAGCACTGGAAGATGGTGAGGCACATTAGAAGAGATTTTTTATTAGTATGTATATAGGGTGGCCATTAGTACGAGGAAGTTCTATATAAAAAAGGTACATACCTAAAAAAATATTTTCTTTAAAATTGCAATCGCATTACCATTTTTCTGTACAGAATTGGGTTCAGCATAAAATTCAGCATACATCACACTATTGATTTATTTGAAGCACTATATGTATATGCGGGATTTCCATGATAATTCATATTTGAAAAATTTCATCTTTTAAAAAGTGGTAAAAAACTGGAGTGAATTTAACTTATTGATATATTATTGCTTAAGTACGTATAATATAGCGAGGTATGTAGGATAAAAAAATTCAGAAGAACACTTGAAGATAATATAAATTTAGAACAAATGGATGGACAAGATATAGACGAAACAAACGATAGAATAAGTAAGGAGCTCCCCAGAGCTGGATTGGAGGTCGCTAGCAGGACAAAAACTAGGGTAAATAAGTTAAGTCAGGAAACGAAACAACTGATGAATCAAAGGAGGCAACTCATGACGAATGGAAGGATGAATACGGGGGAATATAATGAACTAAATAAAATCATCAAAAAAGAAGTCAAAAAAGACCTAAAAGAACACAACGAAGCGTTAGCGGAGAAAATTATAGAGAGCAACAGGGGTCTAAAAAGCTTACAACCAACACTTGGAACCCAAAGAATGATATCTCTAAAATACCCAAATGGAAAAGAAGAGAGAGACAAAAAAAAGATCACCTCAATAGTAGAAGACTTCTACACTGACCTATATAGGTCTAAGAAAGATGCAGACACCCCTACAAGAGAAAAACTAAAACTGAAAATAGAAAATGTTGGATCCGAGGAACTGCCGGATATAGATGAATTCGAAATTGAACAAGCCATAAGAAACCTGAAGAATAATAAAGCACCAGGCCAAGATGAAGTATTAGCAGAAATGCTAAAGGAAGGAAAAGACATAGTGATACCGATATTAAAAAAGCTATTTAACGAATGTCTACATCTCGGACAAATACCAAGAGATTGGAATAACAGCCTGACAGTACTCTTATTCAAAAAAGGTGATAGAGGTGATATAAAAAACTACAGGCCAATATCCTTGCTTTCTCAAGTATATAAGCTTTTCATGAAAGTCATTAACAACAGACTAACATCAAAATTCGACAACTACCAGCCGGTGGAACAGGCAGGTTTCCGTAAAGGATACAGTACGTCAGACCACCTGCTGACTATGAAAGTATTGGTTGAGAAGGCAAACGAGTATCATCTTCCCATGTATTTTGCTTTCGTGGACTATGAAAAGGCCTTTGACAGTGTCGAATTATGGGCTGTAGAACAAGCAATGAACAACTGCCGAATTGATTCAAGATATAGAACCTTAATCCATAATATATACAAGAACGCAACAATGACAATACAAATAGGAGATACTACTAGACCCATCCAAGTTAAGAGAGGAGTACGTCAGGGAGACGTGATATCTCCAAAATTGTTTACCTTGGCAATGGAAGATGTTTTTAAAAAACTGGACTGGTCGGAATATGGCATTAATGTAAACGGCAAAAAACTAAATCACTTGAGATTTGCCGATGACGTCGTCCTAATTACTGACACTTTTGAGGGAATTCAGGCAATGGTAAACCAGCTGACAACCGCATCGGAAAATGTTGGCCTAAAGATAAATATACAAAAAACAAAAATGATGACAAATACCGAAAATCAAAACAACGTGACGATCAACGGATCCCCCCTGGAAACAGTTAAAGAATACATATACCTGGGACAGGTGATCAAGTTAGGAAAAGAAAACCAAACGGCCGAAATTACTAGGCGGAGCAAGTTGGCATGGGCTGGATTCGGAAAATTATCGTGGATACTCAAAAATCAGAAATTTCCCCAATATTTGAGAAGCAGAATTTTCAACCAATGCATATTGCCAATCCTTACATACGGCTGCCAAACATGGACATTTACAAAGGCAAATATAGAAAAACTGTCGAGGACCCAAAGAGCCATGGAAAGAATTATGTTAGGAGTTAAACTTAAGGATAAAAAAAGAAATAGCTGGATAAGAATGCGGACTAAAGTGGAGGATGTGACAGCCAGGGCGGCACGATTGAAATGGAGCTTTGCAGGACATACAGTTAGACAATCCGACAATAGATGGAACACGGTAATTCAGCGATGGAGGCCATACTTAGGACAGCGAATGAGAGGACGCCCTCAAATGAGATGGTACGATGATTTCAAAAGAGTGGCAGGACTACATTGGACACGCACAGCACAGAACAGAGATCGGTGGCGAGAATTGGGAGAGGCCTATGTCCAAAGTTGGACGACAAACGGCTAATGATGATGATGATGATGATGTAGGATAAAAGAAGAAATCCGAGAAAAATCACATTCACAGGAATTTTTTTATGGCGCGGCCAACGTTGCAATATTATAATGCTATATCACAGTTTTTTTTTAAACGCAATACACACTGTATATTATTTTTAGTATTTTAGATACCTACAGACTTAAAAAGCGCACATTTTTGTATTTAAAATATTTCTAAATTTTTAGCAGTTGCGGAAATAGCCTTATGTAATATGATTCGCAGTATTATACCGTATGATCGAAAAAAACGGCGTCCAGTTGGCTGGGAAATGACGATCGATGACATTTTCCATATAAATTTAGATATAAAATGACAGCGTTCTTCATTTCATAGCCAACGCTGACGCCGTTTTTTCTCGATCATACGGTACCTATTACATAGGGCTATTGCAACAGTAAATTTTTATCAAAGCGACCTCAGGATATTTTCTCTTATATTTTACTCTGTATGGTAAAATTTTGTTTTTCTACCCATCCAGGTCGCTTTACTTTTTGACTATACACAATTTATCTAGAACTGATTCGAAAAACTTTACCTAGGGAAGTCCTCTGATGATGCATGGTCCCTCTAAATCATCATATCAATCAACAATTAGTCACTGCCCACTTTTTAGGTATTTACTTAATATGTACAATAATCAGTAAAAAGGGTAATTAATCATGCAATTCGCATTAAAAAATGTAGATATTAATCAGTTAGAGACAAAACAGTGTAATAACCGGCAGAATTAATTCAAACTCTGATTCAAACTAAGCCAAATTCCCAAATAATGCAATTCTGCATTTTGAGCCTGTCGCCTAAAATCTCTCGGGCTGATCGGGAACTGATCGGGAAGTGATACATATTTTTAACAAACGGCTTTTAAGGTTCAAATTTACATTTCAGGCTCGCCTCAATACGGTCTTTTTACGCGCTACTACTCCATACATTTTATCTCTCTTCAACTAAAGGTTTTGCCTATGCCTATGCTTTTTCTTTTCATTCTATAGAGTTAAGATTCCAGTGAACGCTGTCGCTCCGTCAGTGCGATATACCACAATACGCTAGACAAGGAAAGACGAGAGGCAAACCTCTGCACATATACTTCTTAAAGAACAAATGAGATGGATATACATCGTCGAGTTTGTCGCATATGGGAAAGGAAGCGCGTTTAAAGGAATACCATCGACGTAATTTATTGTAAAATGACGGTTAAAAAATACAATTATTATTGATGCAAATAGGAAAAAAAATATAAAATTGTGATTAAAGATGTATCGATTAATACGTGTAGTTTTTCAAATGTATTGGTGAGGCACTGCCTCATCTGCCTCATAGGACAAGCCGCCCCTGAACTGTACAATATGTTACTAGAGATTTTATTTTGTGAGGAAAATTGCTTCTTAGCCACAAAGGCTTATGCTCAAAGATATCTAAATAGGAATCTTCCTGATACGCGTTCCTTTGAAAAACTGCTTGTACTATTTCGCAGAGCTGGTAGTGTGGTTTATTAAAAACCTATTAGGCAGAAACCTGTCGTTGGAAGTGAAAAAAAAACGAATTTGCCGTTATTGGTTTTTTTATAGAAAATCTATATATCTACAAGTCATCGTAAAATAAATCAAAGATCTACTTCGTTTTTCTTGATAAAGTAATAAATACATATTTAATAAATATTATTTATTAAACTATTGTAGGTAAATTAAGTAAAAGTAAACTAGTATAAATAAAAAAAGCCCATAAATTAATTTCGATTTTGAAAATAGCTAGTACTAGTAACTGTCACTAGAAACTTGCCATGACGACACTAGCCCTCTTGGTTGCCATTTTATTGAAAAAAATGCTCTTTATTCAAAATCTGAGCTAGATAGGTATAGGAAACCCTAATATAGTTTGAAAGAGCATTTGAATCTGCTTCGATTTATTAAAAAATACAGGGTGTTGTATTTGAAATAATGAAGTTTATATGTAAACTAAGTTCTTAAAATAGATCATCAATTTTTGATACCTCTGTATAAATTTAAGGAAGCAATAACATTTTTCTGTAAAGTTTATTTCTCTACCTTTAAACTCAGCACAAAAATTAATTCTGAAAAGTAATGTATAGGATGTTAATAATCTATTCTATTGTACCATGCAAATTTGGATATCTTTAACTATCTCAAAAACCAAAGATTTTGAACATATTTAACCCTTATAATAAATATCTTTTTTTGGGTCCAAGAATCCAAAAATGAAATAAAATACCGGGTGTTCAATAAGAAAAAAATAAAACTTTGGTATGGATCTTAGTTCTGAAACACCTTGTATATTTCAAAATAATTTTAAATTGTACACATTGCCTCCCCACATATACACATAAAATATTTTGTTCCTACATCTTTTCATTTTCGTATAATCAACCGAGGCGAATGAGGTGCGCCACCCTGTATAAGTTTTTTTAATTTGTTTATTATTAGATATTAAGGGGTTATTGAAAAAAAAATGAAATGTTGACTATAACCTACGCTAGAATATAGTAACAGTAGTATAAACATTATATAATTTTGAGTATCATTGTGTATCGACTAAACATATCTAAAATTATGGGATTTTATACATTTATAGACACGTGCAGTAATATAGTGCGCATGACAAATTATCCCCATGGAGTAGCCACAAAAGACATATCGATAAAACTTCCATTAAAAGTACAAAAGAAAATAGAATTTTTTAATTAATTAAATTTGCGGGTGCCTAACCATGATACAAGCAATGAATGCCACAGTTCATTCTACCACAGAAAGAGAAATGATTGCCATGGCTGAAGAGGAGCTAGCCAGACTTCAGCGACAGGTAAGTTTTAAAAATATTTTTAAAAATGATGGTGAGGGGAAGAAGAAAATGTTGATTCAGAAAGCAATATTAATGGTGATTTTTGAATATTTGTCGCTTGAGTGTAGCTTTATTATTGAGAAAATAAAATTTAAAAAATGTTGAAAGATGATTATTGTCGTATAAAAAATGTATTAAAAATACTGATTGGTTATTTTAAATATAACTTTACTTTACATGTTACGTTTCTGCATCATAGCCTCTAATAACTTAAAGCCTTATCTGCAATATCAAATTATTTAACGTATATGATCAAAAAACGGCGTTAGAGTTAACTTAGAAATGAAGATCTATATGACATCTTGTTAGGTATTGGCAGCGATCGAAGCTAACTTGACGCCGATTTTTTTTTATTATATTTTTTTATAATTATTAAATAAAGAAATTAATTTTATCTAATACAACGATGCAGTATATACATTTGCAGAATTTAATGTACCGTATGATCGAGAAAAACGGCGTCAGCGATGGCTATGAAATGAAGATTGCTGTCATTTTATATGTAAATTTTTATGGGAAATGTCATCGATTGTCATTTTCCAGCCAACTGGACGCCGTTTTTTTCGATCATACGGTATTTTTGTGACGGAATTTTTGACACTTTAATTTTTGCGGCTTTTTGTAACTTGTAACTCTGTTTTTGAAAACTATAGCTTTTAACATAAAACAGATATCTTAGTTATATCAGTTCCTCCTCGTTTTATTGGCAATATTTACAGAACTTTGCAGAACGGAATCTTACCCGAAATGAGAAAACATTACTTTCTTTTAGTGGCTGTAGAATGGGAGACATTTTACAGAAAGGACTATATTGCCAATTGTCATATACCTAATCTTACTATATGCAGGCAAAATATTGACTAACTGGATAAATGACAGTCTTTCTTCCCGAAATAACTGACTTTCTTTCCCCACACCATTTAGTTATTGCCAGTGGCGGATCCACGGGGGGCTTTGGGGGTTCAAGCCCCCCCCCCCCTTTATATAGATATTATTAATTTATTATGTCAGAAACGACTCAGGATATGTACTTTGAGTAAAGTTTTGTGTCTAGCCCCCCTCCCTCGAATCCTGTAACCGCTTCTAGTTATTGCACTCTCTGAATAACACTTGTAAAATGTCTCTTCTTCGTAAGATTTAATATGATTGATTGTACAGTGTGAGTGTTGAGAAAAAATAGAATAGTGGAACACAAGTCCTTCTTAGGTTGGGTTAGGTTAGGTTTGCTGGGGTTTGGGATCATATTTGATCCCTCACTCGGAGGCCTTGGGCAGATTGCGATACCCTTGTTATTGTTGTACCAAACCTTTCTCTCATTCTTTCTTTCCGTTAAAACACTTCCAGCTCTTTGCAAAGTTCCCGATGTCGCTGATGGTGATTTCTGCTGCTTCCTCTAGACCCTCCAAAAAACCTTGCCCTAAAATTTTAAAGCGTCGGTATTCCAATGCCGGACAGTGGCAGAGCAGGTGCTCTATGGTTTCTTCTTCCTCTCCGCATTCTCTGCAGTAGTCGTCGTCGGAAACTTTCCATCTCACGAGGTTTACCCCCGTGGGACAGTTTCCAGTGACGACACCTAAAATTATGCGTACTAGGTCCTTTTTGTGCTCTAGTAGTTGTTTTGTCTTTTTGCTATCTACCACTAGCCATAGTCTTCGAGCTGTAGCGCAGTCCTCACAATGTTGCCACGTCTCTTGCTGCTTGGCTTTGATGGCAGTTCCTATAGCCTCCTTCAGTGTGTTGATCATCACAAGTGGTGGGTCATCTGCCACGGCCTCTCCCCTGGCCCCGTCTTTGGCGAGTCTGCAGTGGGATTCTGTAAGCTCCGTAGCAAGAAATTTCCTGTCTAGCCTATGCTATTTGTATACGATTGATGAGTCACTAGACAAGAGAAGTGTTTACAGAATCGGGCCTCTGTCTGCTTCCTGATTGCCCACCACATTGCTGTGGCCTGTGGCCTAGCACCCAGCGCAGAGAGTAGCCCCGGCCTGACGCGGCCAGGACAGTGCTCCTCGGCATTCCATCACAGTTTTCGATCTCACTGATTGCATAGTGATGCTTCTTCAAGCGGCCAAGCTGTCAGAGTATATCTGATGAGTCATCAATCTGTATCCCCTATTGGTCTATCAGCAATTTTCTCTCGTATACAACTTGCCGCTTCCCTTATGGCGTAAATCTCTGCTTGTAGAACATTACAGCCGTCCGATAACCTTAAGGATCGTCGGAGGTCTAGATCCACCTTGCAGGATGGGACCCTGTACACCGTCGCTTAAGGTAGGATGTTTTACTTTCCGACACTGCGACATGCGATAACGACGTGCGATAAACTGTGGCGACGCGGATTGCGGGTTTGCGACAAACGTGTTTTCTTACCATGCGACACTTTAGTTCAGCAAATCGTTCGAAGCAGTGCAGTTTATTAAGATGAACGCTATTCGTCGTAATATTGCTGTGGTTCTTTTACTTTATGACGAAGAAGAAGAAAATTTAGCTCTACTGCTTCACGCTCCTGAACCTTTTCAGAAACATTCTGACATATACTCCGAGATATTTTTCCCTGCGTTGTTTGGCCACCTTATCCTTATATGAGTTTCTTTTCGTCTCCCAGAGAACTGGAAATGTACGTACACAATCTACTAAACGTTCGTTGAAGTCATCATCTCATGTTTGTGACATGGCAGAAAAAAAAACAAATAATTTAACCACCAAAAATTCCAAATAAATCGACGCCGATGCGGTGTATGCTACAAAAGAACTAGCAGCGATATCGTTCAGAAAAGATTTTATTTTTCTCGATGACGTGCCACAGCGACATCTGCGATGCCGCCATGTCGCTGCCGCAAGTCGATAGGTTAAACAACATACTAATTTGATTAGTGCTAGATTAAATTTACGGCACACCGTAGTGTCGCACGTCGTTGTCGCATGTCGCAGTGTCGGAAAAAAACAAATCCTCCGGTAAAACATCTTACCTTTACATAGCCTAACCACCAAATTTGGCCGCGATCGGGCGATATTAACTTTTGGCGTTTCTTACGTCAAAACTAAGTGTCATAGTGACACGTGTTGTACACAGCGGTCAAGTTGGCCTTGATCCAATCTACCAACATACCAAATTTCATTTAATTTAAATGGGACGATTTTTTCTAAGCCGTAGGCTGTCCGTACTACTTTTTATCTGGCCTGCTATATGACGTGTCGTGTCACAGACTTGAATTTTTACTCCCAGCGCGTGAATTTTTGAAGTTTCACTTCATAAATTAATCTAATTTTTCATCAGCTTACATCAAGGTATTGTACACTTAATGATTATAATTTTTGATCGTATTATACCAATACATGTTTATCTTTCACAATATCTGTTCTCTTAAAACTATTAACTTCTCTTGAAAATATTAACTTATGCAATTTTTAATTGTAATTTTCAGTTACGTATTATGGAAGATGATCGTAAAGCATTTTCTGAAGAAACAAACACCAAACTAGAAAAACAAAGAAAAATTATACAACGACTCAAAGATGAAAGAGCGAAGCTCTATGAAGACATAAACATTGCTACCTGTGATAACCAAAGAAGAAAAGATGAAAAATTATCTAAGGATATTTACAAACTGTTGAGCGTTTATGACGATTATTGTGAGAAAGTGAAAGTTCAAAAAGAGGATATCACGGAGATGGACATTCAAATTAAAAAGGTATTTTCTACTGTGCTTTTTATGCCCACTTGCACCGTTTGTATAAACTTTGTTTAAAGGCTAAACAGCGATTAACTATACATATTTTATTATAGTTAATTACTGTTTAGCCTTTAAACAAAGTTTATACAAACGGTGCAAGTGGGCATTAATGATATAGTTTAAGATGTCTTTCTGCAGGTTCAAATGTTTATACCGGGTCAGTGCCCAGATATTCACATTTGGATGTGAATGCCAGTATGCCATTGTATTAATAATATATTTCTTAATATTCTAAAACTAAATGTTAATTTTTCCATGACCTCCTGTATTTCCAAATATTTATACTTATAGTTTCTTCTACGCCGCTAAAACTGTTTAAAAGCGTTTAGTGTGCTCTTTTTTAGAATGAAAAAAAAGAAGAAAAAAATGTGCCTTTTTTAGAGCACATGCAGAATCTCTTTGCAAGTGCAAAAATTAATTTTAGTTGGTTAGCAGGTGCAACTTCTGTTGATTGGTTAGAATACCTTTTGATTTTTGATGGGAAAAATACCTTTGGGATCTTTTTCCACCCTTACTGCAAAGGCTCTAACTTGTTACCAATCCATCTTTGGATCTAAAACTAAATGTTAATTTTTCCTAGACCTCCTGTATTTCCAAATATTTATATTTATAGTTTCTTCTACGCCGCTAAAACTGTTTAAAAGCGTTTAGTGTGCTCTTTTTTAGAATGAAAAAAAAGAAGAAAAAAATGTAGAATACCTTTTGATTTTTATGGGAAAAATATCTTTTGGACCTTTTTCCACCGTTACTGCAAAGGCTCTAACTTGTTACCAATCCATCCTTGGATCTAAAACGCATAACTTATCACATTTCGAATAATGCATTGTATCTTTACCACTAACTGAAAGTATGTCCTGAGTAGATAGAGTTGTGCAGTGTCCTCAGTATGGAAGACTAAGAATGCTAAGTAGCTAAATTATAGGTAGACTTAATGGCTTATCTTGATGCAATTATTGCATTATATTACAGTGTATCTCAGATGATTAATACTTTTTATATGGTTTGATACAGTTTTAAAATACAATTTAATCCTGACTGAAACATATCTTCGTCAAAATTATTTTCTAAAGATTCGCCAAGAGTTCGACAGAGAGTATTATATTTTTTAACCCATGGTATACTGATGTTTCCAAAACCAAAGCAGGGACAGGGATAGGAATATTTGGGCCGAAAACTAAATACTCCGAACCAATGGGCACCTACCCTAGTATCCTTCAGGCAGAAATTAACGCTATCGAAAGATGCGTTCAATTTATCTTAGATAGGAACTATCGAAAACAGGAAATTGACACCCTATCCGATAGTCAAGCAGCACTAAACGCGATCAACTCAGTAACCATCAATTCGAAGTTGGTCAAAGAATGCCTAGGAAAACTCAACAAATTAGGCAAAGAAAATAACTCGGAAAATAAAGTCCTTCTACTCTGGGTGCCCGCTCACCAAGTGATAGAAGGCAATGAAAAAGCAAACGATCTAGCTAGAAAAGAATCGAACACTCCACTAACTGGACCAGAACCGTTCTGTTTTCGAAACGGTAACCAACTGGAAGCGGAACTGAAGAATCTGGAAGACTCCATCCGTAACTTGGAATGGGTATCCTCCAACGGTCTAAAACCCTCGAAAAAGTTCCTCAGAACTTAAGACCGAGAGATAAAAAGGTTTTCCTTGAGTTAAGTAAAAACAATCTTCGGATTGTCAGGGGGTTTCTAACAGGACATTGTCTCCTCAACGAATACCTCAGTAGACTGAAGCTGAGAAACAACGGCGAATGCAGATTCTGTGGGGAAAATGGGGAAATGGAGGACACTAGAACACCTTATCACTGAGTGCGCCGAGACGACGGCCATTCGTGCCATGAACTTTGGTACGGCTGATGACGAGGATGAAGAGCTGGCTTCTGTGGAGCCGTCTCAGATACTGGCTTTTGTTAAAGCCCTGAAACTCTATGATGAGTTATAACTCGTTATAACTCAAGAAAGGGATCACAATAGATCTGTAAGGTCCCGGTGATTAACTCTCCTCCTAAACATTCTACATTCTACATTCATCTTTTTTAATTGTGCTTTCTATATTGCTTAATAACAATTTTTAGTTGGAGGCTGATATCAGAAGTCTTCGACCAAAAAGTTCAATTACCGATAATCATTTTCAAAGTCAATTAACTACGGGACAAAAAACTGTAAAAATGCTTCAAAATCGTCTAGATAATATGGTAAAAAAATTCTGTGCAATTCTGGCAAGTAATAAAGAGCTAAGAGAAGAAATAGATCATTTATTAAAAGAAAGGTAGGTATAATAATATTTAATTTCAAAATTAATTTTTTAACGATTGTGCAAATCTGTACAGAAATATTTAGATCACCTGTCTAATTTTCATCATGCTGTAAGAAATTTCGCGATCAAACCAAGTCTTGATGACATTTGCATACTTGCCAGAATTTTTTATTCGGAATGAAAGTATCTTTTTTCCAGCAAAGCTCTTCAAGCCCTATCAACATGCCGAGTTTCAGCCCTCTAGCTCACATAGGGCCCGAGATACGATGCTCCAAAGACCAGGGCCGGTGGAAGGGAAATATTGAGACCGGGCGAGTACCATATCTGGCGCCCCCCTCCCCAATAGTTATAATAACTCTTTCTTTCCTTCAATAGCATACTTTAACTACAACTAAGCATATTTATACTACTTTAACAATAAATGTTTACTTAAAGAAACTTCAAAATTCTTCTCTCTGTTCAATCTTAGTCTATATGGTTGTTGTTTTTTCTACACCGGGTGCGTCTCAAAAATGACTCACCCCTATAACTTTTTAATTTTTTTTTAGATAAAAAATCCAGATTTGGTATGTTAGTATATGATTAGCTTGATCGATGTATTCAACATTTTTGCTTAAAAAATCGTATTTTAAATTTCAATCTAGAATGGCATGTGTTAAAAACACTGATTTAATACTTAATTTAAACAAGGAGCCTTGGAAAAATAGATTTGATCATCTAATATTTTTCGTGTCTTGTCCAGGCCGGTTATAAGATGCCCGAATCGTATTTTTAATCATATCTTAATTTTTTCAAATGGAACAAAGGTGGCTCATTTGTAAATTTGGAAAAAGCATTTTTTACGAATAATTTGAAACCACACACTTGGTGTGTTTCGAGACAAATTGTTCGCCGTTATGAACCGCATGTTACAATTTCAAGTAAACCATATGAGAAAATGCCAACAGTTGACATATGATGTCATTTTATTCAAAGTGTCATTTTCTGTTGCATAAAGTAAGAAAAAGAAATATACCAAGCGTGCTATTTAAAAATCAAAAATTGTAGTAATTTCCGGTGAAACAGGAAGTGAACAAAAACAATTGAATTTGTCAATTAATCCTAATTTATGTCATATAATAACCACAGATAACACATAATCCAAAATTATGTGTTATCTGTGATAATAACATACAAAATATCGTTTTATCTGAAAAAATTAAAAAAGTTATAGGAGTGAGCCACTTTTGAGACGCACCCGGTATATAGATTTATAAGAAATAGAATTCCAACTTCGGCAGTCTCGTTCTGGTATAAGTGATCTTTGGAAACATTAGTATTTAGTTGCAAGAAGTTGCATTATTTTTCTCGTTTGTAGTGAGTATTTAAGAAAAATTTCCTCTTTTTCACAATCGATTATTTCGTGCAGAATCAGTATATGATCAGACAGTTTTGTCGGCTTCAAAATGAGGATCAGCCAGTGTTTGAAATGTATTTCTTTGTGTAATTTCTCTAATGAGAAAATTCTACTACCATTTTCCCTGTATTACTACATATTCAATCCGGAACAATCAAAACCACCAAAAGATTGATATCTTTTCCCACTACTGCTAATAAATTAATTTAATTAATGAGGCAAACTTATAAGCTTTTTTTGATAATAAGGATATCGGGATCCTCTTCAGCTTCTTGCGAATGAATATTTGCCTCATATAATGTTAGGGCATCAGCCATTAATAACAAATAAAGGTTGAGGGTAGTAGAAAAAGTGCGATTTTGAGCGGTCAGTGTAAAACTGTCAATTTTGCCGGCCCTTGACCCAAAACAGTTTGTTTAGAAATTTATAAAAACGAGATTTATAGAAAGAAGGGTTATTTACAAAAAGTTGTTAGTTTTTGAGTTAAAAATAAAATACCACGAACAAATCAAATTTATATTTTTTTATTTTATTTTGTTTAAGATTCTTCCACGAAAATGAATTCCCAAATCCCAGTTTCGAATAGAGCACCCAAAAAATATATAGAAAAGAAGAAATCAAAACTATCCCAAAGCTTTCGTGCTAAGGATTTTTTTTGATCATAATTTCAGTAAACTATAATAGGATATAGTAGTGTTTTTGTTTAGTCAGATATTTCTTCCCTATGTGGTATGGTAATTGCTAATATTTTATTTATTATTGATCTGGTTTTTCATTACTATTTGTTTAGATTACTGTTTTTAAATATTTTAGTTGCCGTCGCGGCGCCCCTCGCATGCGGAGCCCCGGGCGGCCGCTAGGGGCGCCCGGCCCTTCCGCCGGCCCTTCCAAAGACCCATCTAAAGACCCCATCGAATTTTTACTCCCATCGCGCGTAAAGAAGTTTCACTGCAATAATAAAAATATATTTTACCTGGACCACCATTCTTAAAATTCCTTTCATAGACACAGGACACAGATCTAGTACAGACGTATTTTATTTAAGATTCTATGCAGCATGCTATATTATACCAAAGACTTGCGGTAAAAAGTATCAAGAAAAACTGGAAATCTGAAAAACAGCAAAAAACGATTATTTTTTATCGAACATATGTTTTTATTTATTTTTTTAATGAAAAAGATACCTTACAGAAATCATTTCAATGAAATATGGGAAAAGTTGTTGAAGGATGTCAACGCCGGTAAAAAATATATGGTCGACCTAATAGAACAAGCCATCATTGCGTTCGATCAACGAGAAGAATGGTGTTCTAAACTGATTGCTCTAAAGAAGAGAACGGAAATGGACTTTGTGATACACTCCGAAGAAATGAGAGAAATCCAGAGGCGCCTAGATCATTATATGACCCTAAGAGAGTTCTTATGCGTCAAAGGACAAAAACGAATTTTGAAAGATTTAGAAGAAAAAGAACGTTTAAAAAAAGAATCTCAAATACAGGACCTCGAAAATCAGCTACACGTTTACGAAGAAACACTAACAAAAATTCAAGTATTTAAATCTTAATTAAATATATGAAGATATCTACACAATAACGTTATTTTTTAGACGTTTTGCAATGAAGAGGATATAGAAAGAATTGCTTCTCAATTTTTAAAACAGGAGGAAGAAAATTTTGCACTCTTTAACTATGTTAATGAGCTTGGACATGAGTTAGAAACATTAAGCACAGCAGTAGATGACATTCATGAAAAAATTGGTTAGATCTTAATAAACCCTAAAAATATATCCGCGATCTTCATATTCCATAATACAATATGATTAAACATTTCTATGGTTAATCTGGCTTTGTCCGATGACAAAAATGAAGAAATTAGTATTTCTGAGTTTTACTGGAATTATTACATAATTTTTTTAGATGAGCAGATAGAGATAAGTGCGGAAAAAGCTAAGCAACGACAACATACGATAACTTCCCTCCAAGAAGATTTAAAAATAGCAACACAACAAGTAAGCATTTTACTTACCTAATTTTACTTATAAAATGACACCGATCTTCATTTCATAGCCGTCGCTGACGCAGTTTTTTTTCGATCATATTTTATATATCCCACACACACATCACATACGACATGGAGTATTGTAGCTAAACTAATATGATTAGATTTTTGCAAATTTAAGTTTTGGGTTTGGTTTGGTTTGAAAGACTATTAGAGCTACAATTTAAAAATATTTTTACAAGATACGGAATGTCCCAAATAAATATCAAATGTTATAGTTGTATTTTTTAAAATGCAACACCCTGTATATTATTTTATTTTTAGACTCTACGAATGAAAGAAAGGTAAATTTAATTAAGGTTTATCATACTTAAACCTTGCCGTTTTTGAAATCGATTCAATTTTGCGAAATTGTAGTAAAAATTTTAAGGCTCCATTTCTCCAAGGGTATTGAAGTTTTTAAAAATATTTACTAAAGTTTATTTATAGATCAGATATTGTGTTACAATAATAAAAACAATACTACCTTACGGAGTGTCTAAAAATGTATTTTAAATTACTAGGTTTAAACGGCAATAATTTGCCCTATTTAAATAGAACACCCTGTATATTTGACGATAATCAAATGCAAATTTAATTGTCTATCAAATTGTATTATATACCTTTTTACCTATATATCTTCAAGTTTTCCTAGAAAATACATTTTTTATAATTTAGACCTCATTTATCTCATGTCATCAATCAAAAATGTCAATATTCCATGGGTATATTGATTAAATGAGGTTTCAAATTAATGCGCTATATCTCTAAAAAATGCATTTTTAGAGATAGGTAAAAAATGGTATAATACAATTTGATAGATAATTAAATTGTGCAACTGATTCTCGTAAAACACACAGGGTGTTCCATTTAAATTAAAGAAGTTATTGCCGTTTAAAGCTAGTCATTATTTAAAATAAATTTTAGACACTCTGTATAAGGTAATATAATTTTTATTATTGCAACACAAAATTTCGTAAATAGAAAAACTTCAGTAGGTACAATACTTGGTTTTAAAAATTTAAATACGCCTAGAGAAATGAAAAATTGTTACTGCATTTTGACAAAAACCTAAATATTTCATAAATGGTAAGATTAAAATGCGGCAAACCTTAAACAAATTTACATTTATTTTAATTGTAGGAAAATGTAATGATATACAGGTTGTTCCATTTATAAAATACCACTTTGTTTTTTTATTTATTCGGGACAGTCTGTATGTTGTAAAAATATGTTTAAATTGTGTCTCTAATAATTTCTCAATCAGCATTATGTGATTCCTAAATTACCACAATTCAAAACAAGTATCCCTTAAAATAAATGACTGCAATTAAAGAAATTGCTTGATTAAAGACGTGATGTTTTATATTTATTCAATATCGTACATATTACTCTTCTGTTTATGCTCAATAGGCAAACAATGATGAAGGCGACGTTAAGAACACAGAACAAGACATCTTGAAAGTATTGCATGGAATTGAGGAAGTATTTCGAATTATTGATTGTGATAGAGGTCCCATATTGAAATTACTAAGTAATAAGTTATTATATTGTAATCGCAAAACATTTTCCGATGCACGTCATCATCAATCATATCGACATTGACACTAAAGTCTATAAACTTGTATAAACCTGACTAAATGAAATTTTGCCAAAAATGTTTAAATTTGTTGTATAATCTAAGATACCGGGCAGCTCTTCATTTGACTTTATAGAGCAAATGATTGTAACAGATATTTTATTTAGATTAAAGCTGCAAAAATTAGTTTAAACCGAATTTTATTATCGCTATGTTGGTCACACTGCGCCGTTTTCAGCAAGGTTGTCGTTTATTATTTGACAATTATCCTAATGTCAGTCATTATTTTGTATCATATCCTAGCCTATTTTCATAGTCTTTTTTTTTAAATTGTACTATTAAGCACAAACAGTTCTTTGAAGAAGTAAAGTTTCGAGTTTTTGTGTTGCATTTCTTGAAATCGTGTGCTGAATATGCCGAAGCAACAGTTAAACAGTCAAAGCAAAGAGCTTGTAGCTTCCCTGAAAAACTATTTTGAACGAGAACGTGACAATAAAGGTCCTTTATTATCCTTGGCTGCAGTCAAGGGTAGGCAAAATAAGTTTGATTGATAAGCACATTACACCACTTTCAAAGTTCTGTGATTCTTAGTTTGTGCATTAATAGGTAGCACCCTCTTACTTGTTATTACCACTTATGGCGTCATAAGATGTACATCAATAAATAAATAACCCATAATAACGCTTAGAATAATCTTCATAATGGACTAGTTTTTGCCAATATGTAATAAGTAAAATAAGCTATAAAACAAATAAATCAATTAATAACTAAAATATTAGTTATTAAATTAAAATTAAAACGTAAACGTCTTTAAAAAATGATATAATAAATATATTGTTTGTCACTTTTAAATTAAAATTCGTCTCATAAATCCATCACAATCTGGCAGCGCTGTCGCTTGTCACTCAAAGTTGATCACGTGCATCGGAAATTGTTTTGCGATTACCATATGTGCCAATTACTGCCCTACTTGTATTGATTGTTATTTATACTTCCAGGTGAAAACTCAGAAATTAACTTATTTAATGTTAAGATTTATTTGGGCACCATAGAAAAGAAACTTTCAAGTATTATTACAGAATTATATTTTGCAGAGAAATCCGTAAATATATTATCAGCAATTATTTCACGCTAAAAATAAACCGATTATTTTTGTTTCAGATGCTAAAGAACGGCAAGAAGGCAATAGGATACTGATCACATCAAAACTTCTTAATAAATATTTTTATTTTAACATAGTATATTACATAAATCGTGAGATGTTTGACTTAAAACAACAAATACGAAAAAAATACTTCAAGTTTCAAGTAATTCACTGAATAAATGATTAAAATGCAAATATCTTCCCTTCTGCATTTAAATCCCTAAAAATAAAAATAAAACGGTCATATAAAATTTCGTTTAAAAAGTAGTTACCCGTTTAGGACCTAGAGGTAACCATATACTATTTGTATTTGTTTGTGTAAAAGGATTTTTTTTTTGTAAAGTTTGTTTACTTGTTGGCGAATTCGACTCCAGCTTGAATGTTCTTTTTCAATTCGGGAATGGCCGCTTTCAATAATTGTTGTTCATAGTCACTGAGGTTTCCTAATCCTAGGTTCTTTTCGATACCTGTTAAAAAACAGACATTTATAATAATAATAGCAGTTTTTATCAAAGAAATATACCATTTTTGCCTAGTATCAAAGGAGTTGAAAAATATTCTGCTTCTGTGACATCGGAAATGACGTAGGCGGGTTCAATAACGTTCGATTCTCCGTTCAGTCCTCTCAATAAAGAGTTGGCGAAACGCGCTCCAGCATAGGCCATTGACAATGTAGCTGATCCAGCTCCAGCTTTGGCTTTAACAACCTGTAAGTTAATACAAATAAGAGAGTTTACAACTTATTTCTTAGTATTGTTAATTATTGGAAAATCTGAAACCATGTGTGGTAGGTATAGACTTGGTGCATTTCAGTTGATTTCAACAAATTCCGACCGCAGCGCACTCTACGGCAGAAATCAGGAATTATCAATAAATAGTTCACGCCGCCGTCATGTCGATGGCATTAAAATAATATTGAAATCGGGGTTTTGTCATAATATTTAAGTAATTTAGTTTTTTGCTAGTGCAGTTATTGAGACTATAGAACACTCAGGTACGAGGTTTGTGTGATGTAACACTGTTTCGTGTAGTTAAAAATAAGTGGAAAAGAATTCAAACTAGGTGTCTTCTTGTGTTGTGACTTGTGAATTTCAAATGTTAATAAAATTGCCCAAGAAAATGTTAACGCGTAAAGGAGAGCGTAATTAGGGCGTTGTTGGGTGCAATAACATTCAATAACTCAACTTTCCCGGATATTCAACTCTCCCGAAACAACATTTTATAGCTTCATAGTTCCTCACACCGATTTGGTCAAAAGCAAAAACGGATTCAAGCAGTTCGACGAAACAAGTTAGTAAACAGAGCTGTGATAAGTATTTTGCAAATGTACTTCAAGTAATAAGTATTAAGTAATTGAAATTCCAAATCTACTTACAATATTAAGTATAAGTATTTTACGAAAGTACTTGAAGTAATAAGTATTTTACTTAAAACCAATTATTCAAGTATAAGTAGTAAGTACATACCTTAAAAATACTTGGCGTTCTAGCCGAAATAGCTCCAATTATGCCCCACTAGCAAAACCGGTGATAAAACTATGTTCGCTACCGTAGAACTCATAATTTTTAACAACTGGAATAATAAATTATAATACAAGTTAGACCTTCTGAAGATATCAAAATATTTACCTTTTTATTTTTTTTTGTTTAGAATTTCCACAAATTATACTTTCTAACACTTAGAATAATTATATACTATTTTTTCGTTTACTCGCCATTTAAACCCGTGTATTTGTATGTGTTCGTTATTTATGATATTCTCGGGCGGTGGCAGCACCGGCGGAGAATGCACCAAGCCTATAACATTTGTATGTACAACTTTTGATTTTTAAATGGCAACATCGGTATTTTTTTACTTTATTCAATAGAAAGATACTCTGAATAGAATGACATATCACATGTTAAGTTTTAATATTCCGGCTAACAAAAATCGTATTTTAAATTTCAATCTAGAGTACTATGGCTGTGTTAAAAACACTAATTTTTTACCAATGAGTCTTGGAAAAATAAATTTGTTTAACAAGAGTAGCTCATTAGCATATTTGGAAAAGGCATTTTTATACAAATAATTTGGTCCCTCGCACTTGATATTTTGAATAAAATTGTTACGAATCGCATGTTGCCTGTTATGTCATAAATTAATGTACTAAATCTAATTTTTTTTATCCGAAAAATAAAAAAAAGTTATAGGGGTGAGCCACTTTTGAGAAGCCATATATAGTATATATATATATATATATATATATATATATATATATATATATATATATATATATATATATATATATATATATATATATATATATATATATATATATATATATATATATATATATATATATATATAATATTTTATAAACTATTCATATATATATATATATATTAGGTATAATATTTTAAAAACTATTCAGGTTTTGATATTCCTTGAAATGGAAAATTGTGGTAAAATCCGCTATGCAAAAAATACTGTATTCCATAAATATACAAAACTAAAGTAAAAAGTAAAAATATATTTGTATCGCCCTGTTTAAATATATTTTTAAAAATATATTTAAAATGTATGTGCGCAAATATTCGTAGGATATTTTACAAAAATTATTGCAATGAAAATTTCAAGTAGTCCTTTCCAATTCCTTTTTTCAACACTTGGTAACTATGGGTGTTCCAGAAATAAGTGCAAGGGGTGGTAGATCTCCATAAAAGAAACATATTTTCTCTTTATCGTTTTTCAAATACACCAAAATAACGGAGTTGAAAATTTAAAAAAAAAAGATTTTTTGCTAAAATTTTGAGAACCACTGGATCTTTTCTGGATTTTCTTTTTTGTTGTTTTTCTTCTTTTTTTTTCTTATCTTTTGATATGTTGCCATATTATCAAGAAATTATGTTTTTTAACTTAAAACTAAAAATATTTCCAATTTTTTTTTTCAAAAAATTCCAAAATTTAAAAAAAATGCGCAAAAAATACCTCATAGGCGTGTTTCTGACGCGGAAATATACTACCAGTTAAAATACTTGCACTTATTTCTGGGACACTAAAATTTTATGGGGGTATATAATTTTAAACTTAACCAAAAAATTTTCCGTGGCGTATTTTTGGATCTGAAAAAATTTTGAATTTTCAATTTTTTTTTTCGCAAAAAAACCCTCATAGGCGTGTTTTTGGGGTTGAACTATACTACCAGTTAAAATACTTGCCCTTATTTCTGTGACACCCTGTATATATGACTAGCTTATCAATTCGCTAAAATTATCCTTCACTACGCGATTCTAAGACTCACTGATATTTTATTTTAATTGTTTAAATTTTTATTCGTGCAACAATTTTGGAAGAGTTTACTTACATGTAGAACAAATAAATGTAAATCATGCTTTGGATATAAGAAGTGGAACATTAAAATTAGAACATCTTATTTTCTAATATCCATGTTCAATATGAAAACCAAATAAATGTTTAATAATTAGGTTTTCACTACAATAAAATTAATATTTCTTTTTCCACAATACCTTTTCTACAATAAAATTATTAATTTTATTGTAGTGAGAGAGCAATTTTTTAAAGAGAATATTAATAAGTAATAATGTAACAACTGTATGTAAAAATTAAATCAAATTAATTAGAATTTTACACGTAATTAAATAATTTGAAAACTCAGTTGGCATAAGATAGTAAAACAAATACATAATAACTATTTAATTTGAATATTTAAAAATTGAAAAACCCTCATATTTTTAAATATTTGAAATAATAATACATTTATAATGAACAATTTAAAACATTTCAATATTTATATAAATAACAGGGAATATACCAAAAACCAGAGTTAAAAATTATCAAAAACACTGTCAAAAATAAAAGCAGGTAAATGGATTTTTTAAGATCCAATATCTTTTTCCAAGCAATTCTCAATCTTAGCAACTCCAAATAAACTGTCTAAAAAATCTCTAAATACAGTATAATTTTGGGATTATACGTAATGGGTTTTTATTGTATATATGTTATCTATTTCCTTTTTTTATTGTGACTCATTTTAATAAAATTGATTTATAACAATTAATAATATAAGTCCACCTACCTCAGTACCAGCTTCTTGGATTCTTGTGGTCAAGGCTTTTAGTTGGTCCTCTGGAAAACTTACTGATGGGGTAGCTCTAAGAAATAGAAAGTTAAATATTAACTTACTTAAAACCTACATTAATCCAGAGAACGTATCAATTTACAATATCTTCAGTGAAATGTCTTAAACTGATAACTCCATTTTTTACATTAATTAAAGAATACGTTTAATATATAATTTTTACGTTAAAATATTGAGTTTTATTGTTCCCCAACAAATATTATTGTTATCTCTTATCATATTAATGCATGAATATACTTCTAAACTATACATGTGTAAGTATGTTTGCTCTCCTGTAAAATTAGAAACAATGGAGTTGTTTAACACATTTCATAGACAATATACGTTAATAAAAACTAGAGGAGAATATGAAAAAATAGTAGTTTCATTTTAATTTTTAAGTGCAAGATCTACTTTATAAATTAGCTTATAATTTTATTAAGATAACAGATAAAAAACCTTGAATAAACTTATAAACAAAGAAAAAATCAATAAGTAAATACATTTATCTCTTAATAAAAGGAAAATAACATACCTTGAAATCAAAGGAATAATGGTCACACCAGAATGACCTCCAATAACAGGTATGTTTACATCTTTAGGATTTAATCCTTTGGCTTCAGCAATGAAAGTGTTAGCTCTTACAATATCTAAAGTTGAAATACCGAAGACACGTCTGGGGTCAAGTTTTCCAGCCTGTGTAATACAGATTGAACATGACTTCATAAGAAATTGTAATATGCTAATTTACCTTTTTCAATACTTCGCACGCAATTGGTACAGCTGAATTAACCGGATTGGTGATTATACCAATCAATGCATTAGGAGCAACCTGAGCTGCTGCTTTTGCAAGATCCCTCACAATTCCAGCATTTGTGTTAAAGAGATCATCTCTAGTCATTCCTACATAAAGTTAAATACAATGTAATTATTGCTTTCATATCACCCTATTTAATGATTACACAGTTTTTAACATATTAACTTTATCAATGACCTGACCTCATATCAATAGAAAAAAATAGAAAAATATTTATTGCACTAAAAAAATATATCAATTACACAAAGATAAAATTGAATCAAATTAGACATTTTCCCAGTCCTTCAGAAAATTCTATTTATATAAATTGTAGTAAATATGTTTACAGTAATTTCTCTATCAGAAAAGTGCCAAAAGATTTGTTTACTTACCAGGTTTCCTGGGAACACCAGCTGGAATTATAATAACATCAGCATTTTTCAAGGCTTCCAAAAGATTATCTGGTCCATTGAACCTATAATAAATAATGTTATATAGCAAGGTATAAGTGTAGAAGCAGTTAAAGAGCACATGGGAAAAATTATAAGTCCATTTTTTTGCTAATTTGGTTTAAATGCATAATATTTTCCGTTTTAAAAAACAACATCTTTTGGTCCCTAAATAAATGGGAATATTGATAGTCACATAGAAACAGGCATTTAAAAATGGAAAAAACCATAATAGTCCATGCGTAGTTTGGGTAAAAAACGCTTTCCTGGACATTATCATTTTTGGACATTCATCGTTTTTTCCGTGTGCTCTTCAGTTGTAAAATAAGTAATACCCTTTAACTTTCGCTGCGGTCTCAATATGAGACAAATCAGCAGCTACACCTGGGGTGTGTACAATATCATACAAAGATAATTCAGAAACAAGGGGATTGATTTTCAACAGTAAAGAAAGTGGTTGCCCAATTCCTCCTGCAGCTCCACATACGGCGACTTTATAATTGTTCTGTAAATACACAAAAGAGTATACTTGAATTCCAGTAAATACTATATCATTATAGATTGCATAACACAAACAATCAAGAACTATTTTTATTGAAACTATTAATAGATATGGGTGTTATAAATTTTCAAAAATATTAAATTACAACTAGAATATGTCAATATCCTATAAGAATTTAATAGTTGTATACTATTTCTATAAAAACCAATTATGTGTTACATCAGAGATAACCTCCAGAGAGTACCTTTAAAAAATAAAATCTATAATTAAAGACATTTTCGTACCTGCTTGGAAGTTGAAAAATTTCTGGCAGAAATAAGAGTTGGCCTGATACACCTGGAAAACATTTTTTTTATGTTTTATCAATAAAAAATTAAATTTCCAGCAAAAAGTCCTTGCTGCTATTAGTGAACTCGACCTTCTAGGACAAAATTGTCAAATGCGTGCCGATTTTTCATATATTTAAAAAAAAAACATGTGATTTTTGCACATCTGTCAACTGATTACTTTTCATATGCTTTTGATGCGCCCGCGCCTACATCATATATAACCTAGGAAAAGAATAGAGAATATGGCTAGCTAGGGTTGAGCAGACAAGGGTTGAGCCAAGCCTTCCAACTTCCAAGTTCCAAGTAAGTGTTAATTTACGTCATTACTTTTTCCAAGAATGGTCGTTAATGCATTTTTTATTTAAAGTTGATTTATGTATATTTTTTAATTACATTAAATTTTAATTAAAACGTTCGGTAAAACTAAATATATTTTTTGTGTAAAAAAATAGTTTTTCATGTTTTTTACACACCCATCCTTGTATCTTTCATATTTTCATTTCTTATTTTTTTATATATGATCAGTTTATCATTTTATTACATTATAAGTTAGATTTTTTTGTAGTTTTCTACGGGACGTACGGTAATTTGCGGTAATTTGTTTGGATATTATAAGCAGATTATAAACATTACCTGGCATTGCTTTGGTTATTACATGCAATGATTATATGTCATACCATAGATTACTGAGCACTACAATTTGTCAGTCAATCTGTCAATAAAATTCAACCAATCTTCCTTTTAGTTCTTATGGCCCAAGAAATATTAAATCTTTTTATTCTTTTTCTTTTTTAAATTATATTAATTCGAAAAGAAGAGTGTTTATCCTAAAAATGGTGGAGTTCTTATAGTAAAAAGAGCGAAAATCATGGATAAAAAAGTTATTTTTACTAATATCTCAGAAAGAAAATGAGCTCAGATAATTCTGATGATGAGAATATAGATCTCCTTAGAGAAGCTACCGATTTTGAATTTATTAATGATTCTATGTTTGCTAATAAAAGTGGTAAGTTTAGTAATTTAACTCAGATTGGATTTCATGATGATTTCTATAATTTTTCATTATAGGTGAGTCTGTAATAAAAGTTAATAAGCTTAGTGAGACACAGCAGTTTCCATCGCTGCGCTTATCAAAGGATGAAAACGAACAATTCAACTTATTTCATGTAACTCCAGAATTTCAAAATTATGTAGCTAGACAGTTAACTAAAATATTAGATAAATATCTTGAAGACAAAATTCAAAACATAGAATATAGTGAAATACCTAAACGAAAAAAATATAGAAGTGGTGTTAGATTGTTTAGTGATTCCAGACATTTTTTAGAGGAAGACAAATCTACATTTAAACATCATCACAATTCAGGCAAAAAATTCAATAGAAAACAAGATTCAGGTCAATGTATAAGTAAGAATATTTTAAAAGTAGTGGCTGTTGATCCAGAAACTATTTTAAGTAAACAAGAAACTAAATATTGGTCGAATCGTAGTAAAGCCCAAATATTTAGATATAAAACCTCTAGTGACGGAATACTAGTTGAGGTTAAAGCAGAATTCAAGTGAATTCAAGTGAGTTTTTTAATTTACTAAAATAAAATGGCTCACATGCCTCCATTCCGATTAAATGTCCCTAATCTGGGACCAGATATTACTGGACCTCCAAGTAACCCTAAAAAGAGGAGGAAAAATAATCAAGCAGCTCCAATACAGACACCCCCAAATGTGCAAGATTTATTGCCACCTCCTTTGACTGGCTATGGGGACACTATAGTTGCTTCCAACCCTTTTGATGACTGTCCGAGTACGGTAAATAATATAACTATGAGTCGAGGACCACAAATGGGTATGGGCGGCCCTAATATGGGTATGTCCCCAAATATGGGATGTTCTATGGGGATGGGCAGGCCTCCAATGGGTCCAGGTATGTTACTTAACATGACAATATATATAGTTTTAAATCAAATTAGATTTGGCTGCTTAATGTTTAATACTGATATATTAATTTGTAATAACTATGTACAGGTATGGGGCCCATAGGATCACCAATGATGCATAGTCCAAATGCTATGGGGAACCCAATGATGGCTAACGGACCCCGAATGGTAACAGGACATATGGGACCAAGTTCAGGTCCACATGGACCACCTCACATGATGAATAGTCCGAATGGTCCTGGGCCGATGCATTCTATGACTGGTATGACTGATAGAGAGAAGCTTCCTTCACCTTGTTGTTTTTTAACATATAATAAGGGTTTGCGATTTTATTTTATAAAAATAGCTGTTTTAAAAAATATCTATATTGTCTGATACAGTTTATATTGCAAAGGAAGTATGTTTATATAAAAATTATGTATTTGGGAAAAATATTTATTAGTTCCTATACCGGGTGCGTTTCAAAAGTGGCTCACCCCTATAACTTTTTTATTTTTTAATAATAAAACGAGATTTGGTGTGTTAGTATATTACATAAATTAGGATTGATTGACATATTCAGTTGTTTTCGGTTATCACCGGAAATGACTACAACTTTTGATTTTTAAATGGCACTCTCGGTATTTTTTTACCTTATTCGATAGAAAATGAAACTCTGAATAGAATGACATATCATATATTAACTTTTGACATATTCGCTCAAAAACAAATTGTATTTTAAATTATAATCTAGAGTGCCATGGCTGTGTTAAAAACACTAATTTTTAAGCAAGGAGCCTCGGAAAAATAGATGTTTAGTTCTAATATAATATATCTTCTATATTCTATACAGGGTGCGTCTCAAAAGTGGCTCACCCCTATAACTTTTTTATTTTTTCAGATTAAAAAACGAGATTTGGTATGTTAGTATTAGTATATGACATAAATTAGGACTAATTGACACATTCAATTGATTTTGGTCACTTCCTGTTTCACGAGAAATGACTACAACTTTTGATTTTTAAATAGCAGCCTCGGTATTTTTTTATTTATTTGATAGAAAATAATACTCTGAATAGAATGACATTACCATTTGTCAACTTTTGACATTTTTGCATATGGTTTATTTGAAATTAAACTGGCGGTTTGTAACGAAAATTTGACTCGAAATACCAAGTGTGTGGTATCAAATTATTTGTAAAAAAAATGCTTTTGCCAAATATGCTAATGAGCCACCCTCGCTCCATTTGAAAAAATTGAAATAAGATTCCTCCTTGCTTAAGAATTAGTGTTTTTAGCATAGCCATGGCACTCTAGATTGAATTTTAAAATACGATTATTTATTAAGCGAGAATGTCAAAAGTTGACACATGATATGTCTTTCTATTCAGATTGTCATTTTCTATTGAATAAAGTAAAAAAATACCGAGGGTGCTATTTAAAAATCCAAAGTTGGAGTCATTTCCGGTGTAACAGGAAGTGAACAAAAACAATTGAATACGTCAATCAATCCTAATTTATGTCATATACTACCAAATCTCGTTTTTTTATCTGAAAAAATAAAAAAGTTATAGGGGTGAGCCACTTTTGAGACACACCCGGTATATTATATAAAATGAACTATAATGGGTACTTTAATTAGTGCTTAAATTTAAAAGATTAATATTATTTAAAGATAATTATATATTACCTCAAATTTATGTTGTGCTATGGCAAATAATTTAATCCTAATTTACCATAACAACTTTATAGACTTCTACACAAATTTTTACTTGCTAATCAGATTTTATTTATATTTTTTGATTTAAGAGTGTTTACTTAACTTTCTATAGTTTTGATATTTTTGTAGGTCCTCCTATGCACAGTCCTATAGGAACAATGGGTCCGATGGTGGGTAACTGTGGTCCTATGGGTGGTTCAATGGGTGGACCCATGAATGGACCTATGAATGGCGGTGGTCCAAATAACCAAATGAATGGACCAATGAACGGTCCAGTTAATGGACCAATGAGTAGCCCGATGAATAGTCCAGGACCTATGGGCGGGCCTCATGGTCCAGGCGGTGGTCATGGTCCAGGGGGTGGAATGGGTCCAATGGGCGGACCAAATGGACCAATAGGTAAATTATATTTAGGCTTTATCATAATTTGAACCAGTGATTTACAAAACACATTGTAAAACACACACTACTTTGAGTACCTTTTTGAATGAATACATTTTGAGAATTATTACCTTTTACGAACTACTTTTAATCTAAAGAAAGTACATGTTTTACTCAACAATTTTAAATACATATTTTGGCAAATTGCACCTTCATAGGAAGCAGAGCCATAGAGCTGCCACAGTGAGGGAGGCAGCTCATCATTACCATACCATACCATAAATACATATTTTGTTTTTTGAAGCAATCAAAATTTGTATTAAATTTTAAAAATAAAACAGAAACACAAAAGGAAACAAACAAAACGGTTGAATTCAAAGCAATCAAAACACGCTTGTCGCGACAGTTGCCTAACTTAAAGGGTGTGCATAATATAATTGTTATTAATGTTTTATTTTCCTCTGTAATAAATAAGTATCTAAAAATATTAGATTAAATTAAGTAAGTATCAAACTTCGAAACTGTTCTTAATTTTAACATTAAATATATTATATTGCAATACACATAAATGAGCCGTTCATTTTATTTGAACGAAAATTGATAAAGAAAAAAAATAACAAGGAATGTCATCGTTTTTCTAAAAATGTAAACATAAATGTACACAATTATAAACTCGATATTTGGAAAATGAGTGGCGGATAAAAGTTACATTAATCTACAAATATAGATAAGTTAGATATATTTTTAGCGAGGACCGCAACACTTTGGAAGTCGGAACCTCGGTTACAAAATCGCGGTATTTTGTCGCGGTATTTTTTTGGAACGGTCGCTATTGTAGCGCGACTCACGTGGAACCGGTATTCCCATCACTAGTTGCTGGGGTTGAAATATACTACCAGTAAAAATATCTGCACTTATTTCTGAGACACCCTGTGTAATGAGGAATTCAGTCTACTTTTGAGGTAAAGCGACTGTCACTGTCAAATGTTTCCTATTTGGACAAATTATAAATTATATATTTTTCAAAATAGAAAAAATGAGTAAACGATACCAACTCAATAAAATATGGGAATCGATTTACAACTATTTGCGAAATTTACAATATAGCTGTTCACAAACTAATTTTGCGGTCTTTTTTTATAGAAAATAGAATAGAAAAAGAATAAAATTACATTAGGATGGAATGTCTTTTTGGGTTTGATGTAGTTTGTCCACATCAACGCACTTATTATTAGTTCTCTGAACACAATAATAGTAGTGTTTGTTTTCTCTTTTGTGCTCATTTAGATATACACGAGGGGTAAACCGCAGAGAGAAAAGTGTACACCGTAATTCCTTTTACTCAAATAATTCCTCAGAATTCCTCGTAATTCCTTCGGAATTCCTTGGAATTCCTTGGTCTTCAAGGTCAAGGTCAATCATTCAAGGTCTTCCTTGGTACGAATTCGGTAACTCTTTCAGTCCGAACCAGCGTTGCCAGTAATTCCTTGGAATTCCTTCATAGTGTACACCATAATTCCTCTGCGGTTTACCCCTCGGATATACATGTGTATTATTATTATTATTGCTACCGTAAGCTTATCTTATTATTTTTTTGGTGAAAAAAATATTGAAAATTTTATATTTTTCTTGGCATTTCCCAGAAAATGTTGAAAAACTTTTGAGTGCCACTGTTCACTCTCCCGAAATTTGTTTAAGGAGCATGTAGAGAATGCAATGTTGCCACCCCCTACGTTACTCACATTCTGCATATTTATAAGTTCACAGTAATTGTGACTATCTACTTAAAAAAATACGCAAAATAACTTTATATCAGTTTAAATTACTACGAATTTTAGAGAAACTCCTATCACTATTTAAATAGATTTGTACCCTGCTCTATTAATTTACCTACTTTACTAATTGTAAATTGAGTAAACTGAAAAAATAAATTGTAACTATTATTACAGTTTCAATTTTCGCGATATTACAAAATATTTTCAGTCGTTTCGCTCAACTACTAGTTATTTTATAAAACGCCCTGTATAACAAGGAATAGATGAGATATAAATTATTAGATAATTACTAAATTAATTAAAATAGTTACCTTTCATAAAACACTTAAGATTTTTTTTTAATAATTTTTACCTTGTAGATTAATTTCAGATTAAATATATTTAAAATTATACTTAAAAGTTGATTTGTGAAACGTATTATTAATTTCTTTCCATTTCCATTTATAATTAAGAGAATTTGTTTCAAAAATAATATGAGTGTATTCGTATACTTGTTCAGTACAACTGTAAAAGTATGGGTTGAGGTAAATGTTTTACATAGTACTTTTTTGTGCGTTGCAATGTAGTAGGTATACACTTTATTTTTTAATAAATAAATATGTTATATTTAATGTCTTTATCAGGACCTCCAATGAATAATAACAATTTCATGATGTCACCAATGAATAGCATGTATTCCAAGCCAATGCCAGTGAGTGCAGGAAAAGTTTATCCAGCTGATCAACCCATGGTTTTTAATTCACAGAATCCAAATGCGCCTCCTATCTACCCCTGTGGAATTTGTCATAAAGAAGTAAGTCTTCTGATTTATTTAAACGTACTTTTATCAGAAACACGTAATTACTCAATTATTATGCGGGTTTTAATTATCGCATCAGATATCTGAAAATTTGTATTGCAAAGATCTAAGTTAATGGAGAGATATAGCGACGTCTAATACCGCCACAACTCCTCTAGTAGCTCAGACGTAACTTGATATTTACGGTTGTCGAATTTAGCACAAAATAACGTTCATTAATTCAAGCTGGATTTATAAAGTCGGGAGTTGGCGTTCAGTTGAGGTTCAGTTGCAGTTGGATGTTCGCGGCAGTTGAGGTTCAATATTTTTGCATTTATAAACTGTTAGTTTCGGTTGTAGGTTAGGTTTGGAATTGTGAAAATTTCGAACGTTTTTCTTTCGATTTAAAAATACTTTTGATATTTGTCAAAGTTCAAACACAGTAATCCAAGATTACGCAAAATATAAACATTACATTAACAGAAATAATGAAATAACCATAAGGGTAATTTTCCAATGCATCGGCGTCACCTCTCTTTACCGTGCTTCACGTGATCGACAGGCGCTTATTCATTGGCTGTCGCCGAACATCGCCAACTGCCCGCAACTGCCGACTTAAACATTGACCATCTTTGAACTCCGCTGAATGTAAAACGAACTGCCAACTTTTCGACCAACTGACTTTATAAATGCGCGCGTTCATTTCATAGCGTTGGACATTTTGAACGGCAACTGAACCTCAACTTCCGAGTTTCTAAATAAAGCTTCAATCTGTAAACCATATACATATAACTGAATATACTCAGTGTTCCCTATTTAACCCCGTGCTGTTTCCGTGCTGTAAGAAAAAGACAACATAACTCAGCTCCAGATTAATGCTGCATAAGTCTATTTCACCCAGATATCGATTGATCAGCGATTGCGCTAAACTCCGATTGATTGTTGTTTTAGTTCTGTTTGGATTACTTTTTATTTGTGCGCGTAAAAGAGTGATTTTGTTTAGTTTATTGTTTCCAAGGTTAGGTGAAATGTCAGTCAACCACTTCCCTCTAAAAACACCGACCAATGAAAATTTCGTCAGGTAAGGCATGCGCAGTTAAATGAATATCCGGGTGAAATATACTTTATGCAGAATTCCATATTTCTCTTTCACTGTTGGGCTTCACTTTTAGAGATTAGACTGAGTATATTTAGTTATTTGATATGTATATGCTGTAAACTCGATCTTAACCTAACTTTTTATTTTTGCTTTTGTGTTTTGTTGGTTTTCGTTCAAGTAATTTAAAAGTTTTAGTTAAATTATACTTACATACAAAAGAGTAAGCAAGATCTTGAAGCAGTCATTCTGGATTCCCTCTCATAATATTTAAAATTAGTCTATCAGAACAACTGTATTAATAATTTTCTGATAACGTACTAAATCTTAAATAATAATTTCCACTAAGCTATGTTGTATATCTATTTGTAATATTTAAAAGAAAAATATTTTTTATGTCAACATTTTTATTTTGACAGAAATGCAGCATCTCAATTAATTGACAACGTAACATTTGCAAAATGTCAAAATACCGCTTCTTCTCTATGTAACTAGCGGCATCCGATATTAGCACATAAACGCATAAACGCATATTATGACGCTAACTGTCATAGATGTCAAAAAAATAAAGCCTTCCTTAATGTGATATACAAAATAAGTTTATTAGACACAATTTACCTCTATAAAAAAGTGCTTCGTTTGTTCGATAGAGATCATCAAATTTGGAAAATAAACACACATTTTCAGATATTTTAAGAACCGTTATTCCGACTTGAATGAGATTTCGGATGTCTATGTTTTGCTAAGTGCTCTAACATTTGACTTTCACAAAAATTAAGAAAAAGTACGGAAAGGGTCAAAGCTACCCCCACCCCGACATAAATATTAGTCAAAACATTTTCCAACTCAACCGACGACGACCGATATCCTTCTTAAAATGTCCCCCCTAGTATTTATCTACTACATTTTTTGTCTCTTGTAAAAAACTCTACATCGCATAGTTTTTTGAGAGAAACATTTTTAGAGAATTTGTTTTTCCAAAGCAGGACCTACAAAATATACAGGGAGTTCCAATATTCTGTAGACATAGAATGAGTACGTATTTTTTAATCAAAATAAGTTAACTGTACATAATGTACCTTTATACAAAAGTGCTTCGTTTGTCCGTTAGAGGGCATCAATAAAAAATAATCACGAACGTTAATTAATTTAACATTTATTATTATTTTTAAGCTTTTTATGAATCTTATTGTCAAATATAATTTGTGGTACTAACATAAAATTCCATATTTTTGCCAACTAGATTATTAGATATTATTATTGATGTGACAAAAAACATTTTATGGTCAGCTTCGGAAAAAGATCTTTTTCCTCAAAAGTATGCGCGGTGGCGTTTTTTTACCCCCAAGAGAGAAACAATGTAAAGGTGCGTTCACACCGGCTGCGCCGCGCCGCGCAAAACATTTTTTTAACATGTACTTTTGAAGTATATTTTTTTAGCGCGCACAAAAGTATATGAGCGGTACAGCAGTGTGAACGCACCTTAATACATACTAGAGGGACCATTTTACAAAAAAAAATTCGGTCGTCGTTTGAATTGGAAAATATTTATACTAAAATATATGTGGGGGTGGGGGTAGTTTTCATTCTTCTCTTACTTTTTCTTGATTTTTCTGAAAGTCAAATGTCAAAGCACTTAGCAAAACATAGACACCCAAAATCATATTCAAATCGGTATAATGGGTTTTAAAATATCTAAAAAATTGTGCTTATTTTTTTAAAGCTTGATGTTCTTTAACAGACAACCAAAGCACTTTTGTATAGAGATAAATTGTATCCTACGAACTAATTTTGATTCCAAAAATACGTAGTAGTTCTGTGTCCACGTAATATTGAGACACCCTGTATTGTTGCCATATATCTCAATTTTCCGTTTAAAAAAATTATCTTTAACCTCGGCAAAACCCGTTGTTATAGAAAAAAGGTTATCGTCGGAAACAATCTTTTACATTTTTACGAATTATCAATAATTTTTATTACAAAGTTGAGGCCCTATTTTTCTATCATATAGCATTTTTTTATATCTAGGTCCACGACAACGATCAAGCAATCTTATGCGAGAGTGGCTGTAATTTTTGGTTTCACCGTGGCTGTACAGGATTGACAGAACACGCTTTCCAACTGTTAACGGCCGAAGTATACGCAGAATGGGTTTGCGATAAATGTTTATCTACTAAAAATATTCCCTTGGTAAAGTTCAAACCTTAGTATCCCATCTTCGTGAGAAGCGTATAGGAAATAAATAATTTGGTCGTTTTAGAAATGTAAATTTTTTAAATTTTGACAGTGGTTTCTTATTTTTGTGCATTTTGTTCCTATTTTCTAGTATAAAACGTAATACTTAGTTATTAAAAACAGAGAAACCAGTTGTCAATTCTATTATGTAAATAAAGTAGAGATCTAGTTATTAAATTTTTTAATCTCTAGAAATACGAGGCCTATAATATATAATAACTGAATAACTTTAGTATGCTTAAATAATAATATGCATAATAATATAATAACAGGCGTAAAAATCGATAGAATTAGTTGGCCAAATAAATATTTCTAAAATGACTAAATCTCTTTTTAGGAGAGAAACTTTATAACAGTAAGTTTCTAGTGATGTAAAATTTCCAGAAATATATTTTAGGAAATATTTCCGGAAATATTTCCTGAAACATTGGAAATATATGGAAATATTGGAAATATATGAAATATTTTAAAAAATAGCATAATAGTCAAGCAAGAGGCATATCTTCATTGCTGTCATCAGCATCACACTCAACATCTTCTTGCCAGTCTACTTCCTCAAAATCTTCAATAGTATCGGAAATAAAAATTGATCTATTGTCGTTGCCTATTTTCTTCAGCAAGTTTTCATCGTGGGATACATAGAGTAGCTTAGCGACTCTATCATTAGTAAGCCTGTTTCTCTTTTTTGAATGAATATGACTATAAACGCTAAAACTGCGTTCCGTAGCAGCCGAATATGCTGGCATCATCAAAATTCGTGAAGCTACTTATGATAATGAAGATGAAGAACACAGTCCTTTCCAGCAGGAGACTGGGTTATCAAAACTACTTTTCCATATGAAGTTATTTCCAAATAACTTACCACTTCTACAACGGTAATCTGCTATTTCATCTATTATTTCTTGCTCCTTTATATTGAGTTTATTTTTTGATATATTAAGTATATGCATTCTATGGCAGAAAGAATTTGGGTTTCATGATGTTCAGAACCTTGTGATTTTGGATTTAGTAATTCTGCAGCATAATGAATGGGTTTAATAGCAAATTTTTCTCTTTTGTCAACAAACTCCAACAATTCGGATTTTTCTTTGTCGTCAAGTGAGGACAATGCAAGATTACTCTGAATTACCCTTCTAATATCAAAAAATACTTTTACAGCAAAATGAATAGTGCTATAATCTCCTTCTACAATTTTTAAATAGGTTCAAAAATGTTAATTAGGTTGGAAATTTGGGAAAATGCAATACTTCCAAAACAATGTCTTTTGTTTTCCCCATTTTAATTCACTAACCATTGACACTAACAAAAAATCAAAAATAAACTTCCAAATCTTACAAAATATACTTTACACACCGTATAATGTATGAAAGTATTTTCTAATAACGAACTGCGGCACTCACGTTCTTCCTTTAGCAAATAATACGATGTTTATGTCGATCAGGGATTCCCCTACGCTACGACCTACGAGCTGGGGACTTCTCCGTAGAAATGCGAGGTTGCAAATAATTTGGTGAATCCTCAAACTCGATATATTCACCATATTATATGTTTGTAAAACTGTTCTATAGTAAGTTTAATGTTTATAGGGTTACAAAATATGAATGATATACCGTATGATCGAAAAAAAAACGGCGTCCAATTGGTTGGGAAATGACGATCGATGACATTTCCCATATAAATTTACATATAAAATGACAGAGATCTTTATTTCATAGCCAACGCTGACGCCATTTTTTCTCGATCATACGGTATTAATCAGGGTTGTATTTCATCAGCCGAATCAAATGATTTAAATCAAGTGATTTTTTTAATTTTAATCATGTGATTTAAATCAAAAAATTAATTTTATTGAAACTTTATATTAAATCAAAAAATAATTGTAAAAGTTATCAAAATCTGTCTTAGAAAACTATAAAAAATTATTTCGATAACAGATATACCTAACAGATAATAAATCGAAAAATAATTGTAAATTTTATAAAACTGTATAAAAATACCATGGTGCCCGGTGGCGTAGAGGTACAGGCTTTCGTCTACCAATCTGAAGGTAGTGGGTTCGATCCCCACACCCGGCATTTCATCAGCCGACTATTTTTATTAAAATAAAAATAGTTTGGGTACCTAGGTCGACTCAGCCTTAAATGAGTACTTGGGATTCACAATCCTGAGGTAATAATAGGCGGTTGAAGCGTAGTGCTAGCCACATTACCTTCCTTGTATGCCGAACGGCTCTAGTATGGCAAGCTGTACCTTGCTGCTCCCAAGGCGTTAAACACTATATACGGGAGCTATTATTATTATTATTATTATAAAAATACCTAGTCATCAATTTAAATGTTGAACCGATTTTTGAAGTAATTTCGTGTGAATCCATAAGACCTCTAAACGCAGGGATTTATTTTAAAATTTATGTACCTATAAGTGACAAAAATTCGCTGTTCAAATACATATCATTCGCAGACTGGTGCAGAACTAGGTTCTTCTGATATAGAGACTATATCTTCATTCCCAAAAATCTATAATCGTATTTTTTTTTTGAAACGTTGGTATGTTTCCAAATTCTTACCGACATTTTGATTTGCAGTAAGTACTTTACACTTTGACATTAGATAATACTAATTTCATTCTCGACTTAAGACTATTTCCGAACAATAGTGTATTGTTTTATTAAGAGTAGAAATTATACTTTTTTTGACGATGCTGTACATTTTGAGGACCATCGTAAAGCTATTCCGACGTTACAAGGAGGCACAAAAAGTACATTTTTACTTCAAATAAAACACCATTTTTTTAAAACATTACAAATAATTTTTTAATCAATTTCAAACATTGCAACTAATACAAACAGTAATCGAGAAACGATTTGTACACTCGTTGAATTTGACACCTAATATTAGTTTAATAATATATTTTTGCACTTTTGTGCTTAGGCGTAACAGTGCTTTACTTTTATGCCTAGCCGTTAAAATGACAAAAATTAATACTTTTGAGGCGTTTGAAAAAAAATCCTTTTGATCTGAAGGGAGCGACTTTTTTTGCGGAATATATTGGTGACCGATGTGGAAAAATGACACGCGCCGTAGTATGTTATCGGTATCGCTCAGAGTTATAAAGATTTAGCCATTTAGGATAGGACTTTAAATGGAAATAAGTCCTAGTCATTTGGAAATCCGATTTAAATATTGTTATGAATTAAAATAAAAAAAATCTGATTTAAATAAAAAAAATCCGATTTAAATAAAAAAAATCTGATTTTTTTGATTTTTTTAAAAAAAATCATGATTTTTTCCAACCCTGGTATTAATTAACATCGGGTTTGAATCGTTAATGACAAGAAGTATTTTTAAAAATATTTTCAATATTCCCAATATTTCCAATATTTTCGAGACACGTTTAGCAATTTCGAATATTTCCATTTCCATGGAAATATTTCCAACGGAAATATTTTCATCTACAACACTATAAGTTTCATAAATACGTAAAATAGTAAAAATAGATGACTGAACTAGTAAATAAAATTCTGAAAGATAATTTTTGAGAAAAATTATAAATTTTTTGAATGAGATAGGTATACTAAGGGCTGGCAAAGGTTAGTTTTGGGTCGAGATTTCCATATGTAAGAAGAGTACAATGCGTTTATAATGTACTGAACAAAGAGAGAACAGGAAAAACGTTGCCAAACGTATGAAATAAACCGAGAAACTCTGCACATTGCTAAGAGACGTGGAAGGGGATATATCAGATTCGTCGTGGTCGACTGGTCGCTGGTCGATCCAATCCAATCAGAACTTAAAATTCTCGGGAAGAGTGTACATCATGCGTTCAGCTTCACGATTTAATTATATCTCGAGATACTTTATTTGTTTATTTATTAAGGAGTCGTTGTAATTTTTCCTACAGCTTGTTAATTTTTAAGCGCAAGTTACAAAGACTTGTCCTTTTGGTAAAAACAAGTGGTTTTGAGTTGGTGTTCGACAGTGGTCGAGCTATTAGAATTCAAAAATCGATATCTCGAAATCCATTCTAGAAATAATTGATTGCGGTTTTTTTTTTCAAAAACTACCCCAAAACATTTCTGCTATATTTTCTTCGCCGACAGTATGTGAAAATCTTTATAAATAAAAAAGTTACACGATTGCTGAAAATTGCTATGCACTAAAAGTAAATGGATGGGTTTTTAAACTTTTGAATGGAAAGAAAACAAGCCTATCGAATTTTTCTTATTTAAACATTTGTAAAAATCCGGACTTAAAAATAAAAAAAAGTTTCATTATTTAAAGTGGTTCTCGAGTTATCGCGTGTTATGTGTTAAAAAATTGAGTTTTTAAACTATCGCGATTACTGACGTTTTCTCGTTATAAAAAATGGACACCCTAACGATATCCCTATAATTTCATTTTAGATGCTCAGAAACTTATCTAATGATGTTTTCCAAAAAATCGATTTTTGATCGTGATTTTACTTTACTTCATAGGGAAAGGCGTACCGGAGAAATTTGGCAACGCCGCAACAGCACACCGTCTCGTCGCATTTCTCGCACTCCAACTTAATAAGATTCCTATGCGATTTAATTCGATACATGTAAATACCGATTCAAAAGTAAGAGTTACCAGCACGGTATGTAAATATATACAATAAAGTCATGGAGTAAATTTAATATAATTTTTAATATATTAATTATAATTTTTGTTTTCTGTGGCATTGCAATAAAATTGATATTCTTAATATAATATTGCGATTTTGTAAAGTAAAATTACTACATTATAAATTATACTTGTTAGAATCCTTTTATCTTTTGACATTCAATATATGTCACTGTATAATTATGACAATTGGTACATGTGTAATCAAATTCTGAACAATTATTATAAATATTAGCGCCAACTATTTGCGTCTATTGTGTCTAGTATTATTTCGTAATAAATCGACTTCTGAGGCTCAAGTTGGATTGGCAATAACGATCGCTGACATTCCCGTTAAAATGTTACATTTAAAAATGACAACGATCTTCATTTCCAAGATTTTTAGGTATTTTTAAAGAAATTTTAACTGATTCACCACAGTTCTTGCTGGGACCAACTTAAATAAATAAAAATATTTCAGAACTTTACATTCCTAGTTAAGTCATCTGTTGTCAAATATGTAAATACTATTAGTATATAACATATTATGCCTTTATTTTAAATCGGTTTTGCATTTTGTCGGTTTAATTAGTGTAATAATGTATGTGTAATAATATATGACCTTCAAGTCAATAGAAGAGATTAGAGTGTAAGTGCCTAACATTTTGTAATGTGGTTTACATATACTGACGAAGCACATATACTGACAAAACACATTTGCATTGTAAAAGAAACTTTTACTTGTTCTAAACAATATCAGGATTTAGTTCAAGTTTATAATAAATGTTTCAAATGGTGCTGATATTTTAGCAGAATGTACTTATTAAGCTTGATTTTTATGCATCCGTTATACGTTGATACGATGGTTCGACGGACGGTGCTCTGATTGGTCATAGCGTTTTCGCGCTACTTTTTATCCGTAAATATTTTACTTCAGCCCGTCAACGGACCCGTTTAAACGATAACGGACGTTTTGACACTTTTTTGATAAATTTAATCTAATCTTGATAAAAATATAAGTAAAATAGCAAAATCGTTATGGAAACTGTAGTGTATTTTATTATTTATTGTGGTTGTAGTTTGCGCGTGTGCAGTGTGCCACACCTATAGACATCGGTGCTGGGCACGGCTCACTTCTACTCTATTCCTCGAAAATATAAAATAACACCAACGTATATCCGATAAACGGAGGCATGAAAATGCAATAAATTTAAAAAGTGCGTTGTTTTCTAACCAATTAAAGTCTTTAAATTCTACCAATAAAATTAATATCGTATCAACGTACCGTCGGA